TCTCGTGGAGAGCTACTTGCTCCTCGTCTGTTGCCCAGTCCAGCTGTGAGGCCGAGATCTACGCTGGTGCCATGGCGGCACAGGAGCTCCGCTGGCTGACCTTCTTGCTCACTGACTTAGGTGAGCGGCCTAGCTCTGCCCCGGTCCTGTTCGCTGACAACAGGGCCATGATCCTCCTGTGTCAGGAGCCTCGACTCCAGGGCAGAGCGAAGCGTATTCAGGTGCGGTACTTCCTCCTGCGCGAGCTACAGCAGCGACGCCAGGCTTGTGTAGTACACTTGGCCTCAGGTGCCAACACAGCTGATATCTTTACGAAGGCGCTTGCGCCTAAAGATCATCAGCGGCACTGTGTACAGCTTGGTCTAGTTCCTGTAGCCTCTCACTTGCTAGGGCCTTGACTTTGTACTGTCCTTTATATGTGTACTCAGACTGGACTTATGTCCTCTCCGAGTGGCTGGACTAGTAGTGCCGCCCTGGTCTTGTTCTTGCCTTGTCTGTACTCCTTCTGACTGGTCTTTTACCCTTGTCTCAGAGGCTGGACTAGTAGTGCCACCCTGAGCTGCTTGTTCAGGACCTGCCCCTATGCAGTCTAGGGGGTGTGTCAAACATGTGTATCTACTATGTTTGCATAGACTGAATAGGGCCACCTCTTAGAGGGTACAACACTTAGGTATATTCACCTGTACTCTCTCCCTACTCAATCACTCACTTCTCAATTTAATACCTACCTCCATGATTCATACTGGTGCACCTCATTTTCTGTGGCCGTTCGCCATTTGCTACGCCGCTCACGAGCTTAACCTCTGGCCGCGGTCCCAACGGCCGCAGGTTTCGCCGACCCTTCTTTGGACCGGGTTCCCTGGAGACGCGTCCGCGTTCCACGTCTGGGGCTGTCTTGCTCACGTTCGTGCCTCTGGCACAGACAAGCTCACTGCCTGCACTGTCCCCTGTGTCTTCCTTGGTTTCCCCCTTGACTCGTCTGAGTGGCACTTGTACCACCCGCCGTCCTACAGCTTCTTTCACTCCCATGACACCACTTTCGCCGCTGTCTCTGGACCTGATGCCTTTGTCTCACGTGTGGTCTCGCCCTCCTTCTCGTGCGCGTCCTATATCTCTTGTTCCGCACTCTCACCCCATGTTGCTTCCTTCCCACGCGTCTCGTCCCCCTCTCCGACCTTGGCCTCCTCTGTCGTCGCTCGTTGCCGAGCCCCCTGTTCTGTCTGACTACCTTCATGCCACTCGTCCTCTTGTTCCTCGGGTCCTTGCCTCTCTTGTTACCGACCCATCTGAACCTGTCTTGAGTCTTGACGCTCTTGTCGCTACTGTTGCTAACTTCGCCTCTACCCACCACCTTGACAATGCCACAGCTCTGGTCTTTGACCATATCTGTCCTCCATCCGTCGGGGGTGCTCCTGCTCTTGACAGTGACGTCCTAGAGGACATCTAGTACGAGCATGCTTTCCAGTTCGAGGCTGCTCCCCATCTCTGTTCCATGCTGCTAGTCCATGAGGGTGACCCAGATGCCTTTTACATCCCGACCTCTCGCACTTACGCTAGGGCAACCTCGGGACCCTGTGCCTCTCAGTAAATAGCTGCCATGGAGCAAGAGATGGCATCTTAGAGATCCACCGGCACTTACGTCGACGCAGTTCTCCCACCTGGGGTGAATGTAGTCGATGGCCGGTGGCTCTTCAAGGTGAAGCGCCCCCTTGGAGAGCTGCCTGTGTTCAAGGCGCACTACGTGGCTGGAGGCTTCACTCAGCGTGAGGGGACCCCGAAGATGACCATTCTTCGCGCGCTGCTACACGTAGCAGCACAGCGTGACTACGAGCTCCACTCCCTCGATTTGTCCACTGCTATTCTTCAGGGCTGCCTACACGAGCAGGTCTACCTGTGCCGTCCACAGGGTTTCACCGGTACCTTCCCTCCTAGGACCCAGTGGCTCCTCCGGCACCTGGTCTACGGCCTGCGACAGGCGCCCCGTGAGTGGCACGATACGCTGCGTGCTACGCTAGCTAACCTGCACTTCTTTCCGTCCTCTACAGACCCCTCGCTCTTCATTCATGCTGGCCAGAATCCGTTCTACATCCTTGTCTACGTAGACGACATGGTCTTCGCTAATGCGAACAGAGACGCACTGGCCTCAGTAAACGCCGATCTGGTGAAGAGACACATCTGCAGTGACCTAGGAGAGCTGCGCTGCTACCTTGGCCAGAGCAGCGCGCACGATCACTCTCACACAGTCACAGTTAATGCGCCAGGTCCTTCAGAGGTTCGGTCTTCAGTTCTCCTCTGCCAGTAGACCACGGACTCTCAACTCACGTTCCTTAGGAGTTAGTAGAGCCCAGTGGTCCTTATGCAAAGCTGGTGGGTTGCCTCATATACCTGATGACGTGCACTCGTCCAGATCTCGCATACCCTCTCAGCATCCTGGCTCGCTGTGTGGCCACAGGCAGACATCGACCACAGCACAGGTCGGCTGCTAAGAGGGTTTTGTGTTATCTAACAAGTATATCGGGCATCGGTCTAGTGCTGGGAGGATGCAGGCCAGTGGTTCTTACTGGGCACACAGACGCTTCTTGGGCAGAGGACGCTAAGACACTCAGGTCCTCCTAGGGCTACTGTTTTAGCCTTCGTTCAGGGGCCATCTCGTGGAGGTCCACTCTCTCGATGTCTGTTGCCCAGTCTAGCTGTGAGGGTGAGACCTAAGCCGGTGCCATGGCGGCAAAAGAGCTCCGCTGGCTGACCTTCTTGCTCACCGACTTAGGTGAGTGGCCTAGCTTTGCCCTGGTTGGTACGTTGACAACATGGCCATGATCCTCCTGTGTCAGGAGCCTCGACTTGAGGGCAGAGCGAAGCACATCCAGCTGCGGTACTTCCTCCTGCGGGAGCTACAGCAGCGCTGCCAAGCCCGCGTAGTACACTTGGCCTTCGGTGCCAACACAGCTGATATCTTTACTAAGGCGCTTGCTCTTAAAGATCATCAGCGGCACTGTTTGCAGCTTGGTCTAGTTCCTGTAGCTACTCACTTGCTAGGACCTGGATTTTGTACTCCTCTTTATACATGCCTTCCTGACTGGCCTTGTGGCTTCGCCTCCACTGGTCGGACTAGTTGTGCTGTCCTGGTTTGCTCTTTTCTTGTTTGTACTCTTGCTGACTGGTCTTCGGACCCCTGTCTGAGAGGTTGGACTAGTAGTGCCACCCTGAGCTGCGTGTTTCTTGCTCAGCACGGCCCCTTATCTTGCCTAGGGGGTGTGTCAACTTATACATATATTTGTAGGTAGAAGTTATAGGCTAGAGAGATTTGTGTTCATAGAGGGTACAACTCCAATTCTATATCTCTTTTGTTCTCTCTTGTTTTCAATCATTCTCCTATTCTAACAATATCCTTAAGAGAGCTAGGCTCCATAGATCCACCTTCCCTATAAAAAGCCTCCCTAGTGCCCTCCCTAGAGAGAGAAGAGGTTCGAGAAGGCTATCCCAGTGCCACGACACACCTGTCAAAGCTATCTAGGTAGGAAGAGACGCCATGAATGGCGAGAGGTTTTAGGCTAGGAGAGAAAAAATATCGAGATAGAAGGAGATTGGAATAGGAGAGAGAGGGATACAAGAAGGGGGGTTGTACTCTCTATAGTAAAATCCAGTAATACCTACGAAGCCTACCATTATGTATATTTCAAATATATAATTTAACACACCCCCTAGGCTTGGTAGCTGAAAGCCCACCACACACACGGTACACTAAGCCACACACCCCCTAGGACCTCCATACTCAGCAGCAGCGACGGCTACTCCAGCATGGTCAACCCCACGGTGTGAGAGGGGGGGCGACGTCGACAGCGAGGGCAGCGGCTGCAACGGCGGCGATGACGGCAGTGTCGACAGCGGTGGCGGCGGCGGCGTGCGGCGGCGTGGCCAGCGGCACCAGCTGCGGCGGCGGCGGCTTCGACGACAACTGCCGGCGGCGGCGGAGCTCGCAACACTCGGCGGCGTGGCCAGGCTCAGCGACGGTGGAACGGCCTGCGCGAGTCAGCCGTCGGCTGCGGCGAGGAAGAGGGGACGCAGGTGAAGGGGGCGGGGCTTCAGCAGCGGAGCCCGGGAGCGTGCCGCCCAGTGTGGCGCGCTGGCTGCATGCGGGCGTGCTGGCCAACGCTAAGACGGGGCGCTGGCCGCTGCCGACCGTGCCGTACGCGCACTGGCAGTACGTCGCCATGGCAGCACGACGGCTCCATGCAGCCACGGCTCGACGTTGACGGCACCGCCTCGGCTTGACGTTAACGCCTTGACACCGCAACGCCACGGCAGCGCGTCGAGACGGCCGCGGCAGCACGACGCGGCCGGCGGCACGACGACGCCGCCACAGCAGCAGGACGCGGCCGCCATGGCAGCACGAGTGAGAGAGAGGAGTGCGCGGCGGAAGCGTGATAAACATGCCCAGGAAGAGCAACCTGCTCTAAAACCATGTCAAAGCTAGCTAGGTAAGAAGAAACGCCATGAATGGCGAGCGGTTTTAGGCTAGGAGAGAGAAAATATCGAGAGAGAAGGAGATTGGAATAGAAGAGAGGAATACAAGAAGGGGGGTTGTACCCTCTTCAGTAGAATCCAGTAACACCTACAAAGCCTACCATTATATATATAATTTAACAACACCCCCCCGCTGGGATAGCGTGAACACCGGGAATCGAACGCTGGATCGATCTGATACCAAGTCATTAAGTCACAAGTCCTAACCACTGGGACAAAATGGGATATCCTCAAGAGAGTTAGGCTCCATATATCCATCTTCCTCAGGGAAAGCCTCCCTAGTACCCTACCTAGAGTGTTAACAGGTTCGCCAGGGCTATCCCAATGCCACGACACTTTACACATGCATGCCTGTATACTCAGTATGCACCAGACGAGGATATAGAGCAGGCTAGCATGCTATAATATTCCCAACCCAACGCAGTGAACATTATTTGACAAAAAGCGTGGCTTCGATGCTAGGTGAATAATATTAGTATTACTTAATGCATAAATCAAAAGCATACACAACAAATGCAACGAAGGGCAACGGAAACTACCGGTATGTGTTCAGTCCAACAAGTGCGCCATAGCACTGTATATCTGATTGAGCATTTCAAAAGGTACATAGCTTCACTCTACTGTGCTCTCCGAGCTCACCCTAAGGTGAGCTGCCTGCCTGCCTGCCACCCAAAGCGCACTCAGTCCACTCAGAACACTCCATCAAGCTAGCACAACTGTCTGCACTAGGACCCACTGTGAGGCGCCTCAAAAGCAAAGCGACCTCAGAACTCCATCAAGCTAGAGCGGTCCCGGATCCTGCTCCTGCCTGGCCTCACCACCAGCACGGGACACCCACTCTGCACACCTCCCGCCCCACGCACGCCCACTCCCAACCCCACTCTCATACCACCTCCCTCCTCCAAGCTCTCCCTGTTGATTCTGGCTACCACACCCGCCCCTACCCCTCCTGCACCTGCTGCACCAGCAGCAGCAGCGGCGGCAGCAGCAGCAGCAGGAGGAGGAGCGTGGGGATCAGAAGCGAAGGCAGCAGCGCCGCCAGCAGAGTCAGCGAGGTGGCCCGAGAGAATGAGGAGGTGGGCGTGCACTGCATGCACCCGGCAAAGCACTGCCTCACAGGGGTCCGAGGCCTGTCGTACAGGGGGGAGAGAGGAGGGTGGGGAGGAGGGTGGGGAGGGGGTGGGGAGGGGGTGGGGGGGAGGAGGGTAAAGGGAAGAGGGCAAGTTAGAGAGTGCGGCAAATAGAGGTAGCGGAAATTGGGAAAGAGCAGAGACTCTGGCAGAGCAAGGAAGCACGGGCAGGGAAATGGTGGATAGAGGGGGGTGGAAGGGTCTGCAAAAGCGAATGTTAAACGGCACTAGGAGTCCCTCTCTGAGGCATAATCCGCCCTTCTCTGAGTCTCTCTCTTCTCATAAACCCCTCCACCACCTCCTTTCACTTCCCTTGTTAATCCCCGACCCAACAACAGCCATCCCTCCATCTCCAAACACTCTGCTGCAATGCCCATACTCACCACACCATGGCACCATCCCCAATCCACTCCATCCCATCCCATGTGACCCCCCTTCCACCATCCCATTCGCAAACCCTTCCCTCTGTCCGTCCCTATCCCCCCTCCCTCCCCTTCCCTTGGCCAATCATCCCCCTCCCCGCCCTATCTCTCCCCCACCCCCCTCACCTCGACCACAGCAGGGTCGCAGGCTATGCCCATTTGAGGCGATGAAGTCGACTCAAAAGACTTCTAAGTCGGCTCAACGACCACCCCCCCCCCCCCCCCTCTCCTCTTCCCCCCCCATCCCCCCTCACCTCGACCACAGCAGTGTCGCAGGCGATGCCCATCTGCTCCGCCTCCCGAGCAAACCGCTCCAACCACCTCGCCACCTGGAGTTAGGTCGCCACGCCACGCCACGCCATGCCACGCCACGCCATGCCATGCCACGCCACGCCATGCCATGCCACGCCACGCCATGCCACGCCACGCCACGCCATGCCATGCCGCCATGCCACGCCACGCCAAATACACATTGGGGAGAGCGCCGAAATCAGGACACGCGAAAGAGACCTTCCCCGTTGAGTTGAAGGGCGCTTACAGAACCAGTTCTCCTCCTCTAACCTCCCGCATTCTCCACTACCCCGCTCACCTCACGCCTTATGGCCAAATCCATCGCCTGTCTCTTCCACTAACAACACCCCCCACACCCCTGCCTCCCCCTTACCTCCGCGACTCTCCGATTCCTTCACCCCGTTGGATCCCACACGCCATTGCCACCTACACCCATTCTCCCTTACAGTTCTCACCTTTAAGTCCATGTGCTGCTGCTGCTGCTGCTGCCTCAAGGGTCTTCCCAGCCTACGTCCGCACGCCCTCACCGACCCGCCACTTCCGCCGTTTCCGCCGCACCACGCGCCACCAGCGGCCTCGTGCGCTTCTGCCCCGCGGAACCTGCTCCCCCAGTCCCTCGCTCTTGCCAACCCCGCGCGCTTGTCGCCGCCGGAACCGCCGGGAAACCGGAACACAGCAGGTGGGGCCACCTCATGCCTACCTACTAAACCGGCCCTCATATCAGCGGTCGTTGTCGTCGCGCTCTCTTCCGATCCCTCCTGCACGCGTTTCCACGAAGCGGCGGATGATAATGCTGCTGCTGCTGCTGCTGCTGCTGCTGCTGCTGCTGCTGCTGCTTTCGCATTCATGTCACCCCCACCTGCAACAGTAGCGTCTGCGCACGTTGCCGCGGCGCCTCCCGACGACTCGAACGCGCTTTCCAGCATCAGCGCCGCCGCAACCGCCGCTTTGCGCATATCCGCCAGCTCCGGTGCAGGGGGCGGGGGGGAGTTTCCGCTCCGCGCGCCTGCGGCGCTTCCGCCCATGCACAGCCCATCCACGCTCCGCCGCCGCACATGCCGCAGAGGTTCTGCGCCACCGCCGCTGGCTGCACCGCTTTCGCTGAACCGTCTAACTGGAGCGCGGGGCAACTGCCAGGGCGTGAGAGCAGCGGATGTGGTGGGAGAGGCGGCGGGATTTGCGGCGGCGTCGAGAAAGCACGAGGCGAGGAGAGCAGCGGCGCGGTCGGTGGAGGCGCCAAGGGAAGCCGGCGAAGCGTCGGCGGCATGATACGAGTCGGCGGGTCGCGATAAGGGTTGCGATAGAGCCGCCGACGGCCACACGGCGGCGCTCGGCGGGGAGCCATGGCGCCGCTTCCGCGAAAAGCGGCCGGTGGAGGGTAGAGCGGCGGCGGTGGCGTCGCCTCGTCGTGCGAAGGAAGAGGCGCGAGGCGACGACGGCAGGCAGGACGGAGAGGCCGGCGCGAAGGAATCTGATGGCGCTGGTGGGATGAGGCGAGAGGGGTCCGAGAAGACATAAACGGGGACGGGGTGAGGGAGCAACGGAGGAAGGAAAAGGGAACCAAAAGGTGGGGGGAGGAGGAGGGGGAGAGACAGAGAAGAGCGTGCGACGAGAGAACGGGTCGAGGCGGTGACAAGGGAGGCTGATCAGGCGTGGTTTTAACGGTAACGGTAATCGTGACCGTGACCGTGACCGTGACCAGGAGCTTACAGTGGCGAGCCGCCTTGACGTGCAGGAGAAAGAGGTGGTCCGTGAGCGGGTCGGCAATTCGCTGCAGCGCGTAGTGCACAGCCATGTCGCTGCCGTCGCTGCCGTCCACTGCGACGACGATGCGACGCATCGTGCGACTGCTGTCCAGCCGCTCCTCCTCCAAATCGATCGCAGGATCGATCGCAAGCTCGTGCTCGCAGTCCCCTTCCATCGGCTCGTTTGCTTAGACTCTTGTAGGGATATATAATATCAAGAATGCTTGTTATTATAAATTGTCCGGTGGCCACGAAACGCTCTCGAGACGTGGGAAGCGAGAGGCGTACACGAAAGAAGGAGCACAGTGGAGGTCGGTAACGAGGTACCGCCCTAGCACCGTTACTTCACCGCGAAAGCTGCGTATTAATCGACGCTTCCAGTAGCGTTTAGAACAGGTCACGTAAGCGAACGAGTAGCTCGACAACCCTTCGACAGCAAGAGAGCTCGGAGAATAATGGTGGTGGATTGCTCAAAACGGCTGGCTGCTGGCTTTATTGAATCCTGGGCTGGAAGTCGGTTGAAATATGGGGGGAGGGAGAGTTGGTTGGGTTGACGAGGCGACAGCAGACCGCCGCGTAAAATCCGTCAGCAGCATGTTAGGGAGGGAGGGAAGGCCATAGCTGGCCTGGCAAGCAGACGTGTGAGTGGAGGAAGGGATGATGTGATCCAGTTCCGCCAGAGAAATGGATGGATGCTGGGGTGTGCGAGCGTGCGGTGCGGTGGTGGTGAGTGGAGAGTGGTGGATGGTTGAGGACTTGGAGAGGAGAGGCAAGAGAGGATGGATTTGATGGGGTTGATGATGGGCTCTAGTGTGGATGGGGGGGAGTGAGGGAGGGGGCCGAGCGAGCCGAGCAGGTGTGATGCGATGCATGCCTCTCCGCTGGGCAGCATTGCCTCGTGTTGTCCAGGTGTCATGAAGCAAAACCACATCGTCCAGCTCGGTTCTCCCGTTTCGCAAGCAAAAGAAACGCGCTTGCATGTGAAATGACCCACGGGGCAGAATGTTGGGGGGGAAGCGAAGGTTGTGAAGGAAGTGAACATGCTTCTCAGCTGGTTGGTGGCGTGAGTTCCCATGCCATGCCAGGAGCAGTCGGTCAGCCACATCTATCCGTCCGTAAGCAGCATCGGACGGAGAAGACCTGCTTGGTGGTTGCTGTTCACTCCCCGAGCCAACCATGGCACATGTCGCCAGCCAGCGGGATGCATGTGTTACACGCGGTGGGGTGGGGTCCGTGCGTGCGGCCCAATTGATATGCGTGAAAATGACAGCAGCAGCACTGTCATGGGTCATGTCACACCATCCCACGCTTGCACTTCGGCTAAACCAATCAGGAGGTGTAAATTTCGTGTGTGGTGAACTCCCTCCCAAACCGGGGAGTCCAAGGCTGTTTACTGTACAGTACAGTCCTCCAATCAGTGTACAGGACAAATTTGCCAGATCAAGCGGCTCGGATCTCTTTAAAGCCGAAAGTTGTACACGAAAAAATAGAGTACTGTATTCCCAGAGGCTCAACCAGCATGTTTACTCTTTTCCTCTTGATGATAGCATATGCACTCTAATCCATAAATAAAAAAGAAACCCGCATTAGGTACAATGTTGACAGCATTTCACACCACATCAGGCTCGAACAAATACCCTCACTTCCCCCCTGTCGCCTCTGCTGACTCGGAAGTCGCCATCAAGATACGTGGTGCTGAAATCCCCGCTGCGCACCTCAGGCGGTGGGCGGAGGAAAGCAGGTAACTGAGGAACACTGAAGGGCGGAGGGAATGAGCCCTTAGGCCTCACAGCTGTGCTCTCAAAGATAATGCGGATAGATGACGGTCCTGTAGGGAAGAGAAATGGGCACAGGGCAGCAAGGTGAGTATGGAAAAAGGTGGCGTACAGTTACTACACCGGCACTTGTTGCATACGCAGGCGACCAGGCAAAACGAGCCCACCTGTGAGTTTGAACGTGTGCTGCAGTGAGGCAGTGGCCTCCAGTGCTGGCAGGGGCCAGGGAGCACTGATCCTGAGCTCCACTATATTATCCAGCTCCTTTGCAGTCACATCCACACGCTGTGTCACCTGATAAACGCGAAGACACACCACACCAGAAGAGAGAGGCAGGGGAGAAGAGCATGGGAAAGGCACAGCGGTTGAAAAACCAACACTCACGTCCCAGTATCAGATAAATAATAGATGAATCCAACCCCACCCCCCCCCACCCCCCCCTCGCCCCTCCTGCCTGGGCATATCGTCACAACCCCAGACACCACCGCTTCCCCTCCCACCTTCCTATCTATCCCCTCTTCACACACCTGCCCAATGGAAACCGGCCCTCCGGCAGGCGGGCCAGGCCTGAGTCCGCCAAGGCTGCCCGAAACGAACCCACTGCTGTACACCAGCCGCCACGTGCCGTCCAGCAGAGCCAGATCGTGACTCACCCCCCCGCCCACGCCCCCCACGCCCGCGCCCGCGTCCCTTTCGCTCTTCCCCGCCTTCCCCTCCGCGCGCGCCCTGCTTGCCAGTCCGCCGATGTGGTCCTCCTCTGGCGGCGGAGGCGGGGAGAAGTCGAGCGGAGAGGCGGCGAGCTCGAGGTGGCTCACGGCAGCTTCAACCTCCTTGGCTTGCTGCGGCGACGCGGCTATTCCCCGATCCAAGGGCGCTACGAGGCGCTGGAGGAGAAGGGGAACGGGACGTGGGAAAGAGAGAGAGAGTAGAGAAGAATGGGGACGGATGTAAGACGGGAAGACAAGAAATGGAAGGGAAGCCTAAGAATGCCGAAAAGTGACGACCTACAGGTACACGATAGACGGCAAATAGCAGCGCTACAAACGAAGGACGGACGCGGCATATGACTCGAAAACCTACCAGGATGTTGTCTTTGAGCTTCTCCACGTCAGAAACGGCGCCTCCTTGACCCGTCGCTACCCCAGCCACGGCAATCCGTGAGCTTCCCCTCGCTCTCCCAGTGAAGTTGGGCCAATCCGCAGAATCTCCGCTTGAGAAGCGACGCGATGGAAGAGCGAGAGTTGCAACGTTGTTGGCTCGCAGGTTTGAAAGAGAGATTCGTTGATTACGTTGGCATCGTCGGGGAACGATTAAGTCTATGCCACGAACAGCTACAACTGACACCACCGCGTTGGCAGCAGACGCCATAGCTTCAGCGAGGAGTAATGCACAAGTCGCAAGTCCAAGCTGACAATGATGAATGAGTTTGTGTCACAAGTCAAACAAGACTGCCTCAGTTCTGAATTCCTTTGCCAGATTGACGCATGTCAGCTGCTGACCCACTCCACGACTGCATCCGAAGTTGCGAGAGGGAACTTGTGTGGAAGCAGCACGAGCCTGGTTGTGATTGGCTGGCTCGAAGTCTTGGTAGTGCTAATGGCTTCACGGACAGAAGGGGGTCGACGAACTACACCGACAGTACACCCTCGTGAGACACTCAAGCCACATTAGACGAATGATTGTTACTCAATAATGATGGCATACATATGCTCACAATTCCATTTCTATGTCAAATTAGGGACAAACGCCTCTCCTTCGCTATTCGAGCCAAAACATTGCCGCGCAGGCATATATTGACGTCTAGAGTCTACATGTATGGATATTGAGGTGCATTTGGAACCTCAAACTTTGGTAGATAATATGGTGACTGGAATGGGAGCAACACCTTCAGAGGATTGCCGTCTGGAGGTGAGCCTAGCCACGCACTTGCGTTGATGAAGTTGTAATTGATGAACGGTGCAGCTTCAACATCATCAAGCTGGTGGCTCCATGGTACCCAGGCCGTGGTATTTACCCCAGGACCCCAGCTGGCAAACTGAATAGCAGATTAATCAGAGCCAGCAACGGACAGCAGGCGTGGTTCTGGGCCGACTTTCCTGAAATTTAGCTTACCTCGGCAAAGAAAGCTGTTTGCTGGCGTTCAGGATCACCCCAATCATACCAGCCTCCGCTGGAAATGACATCGTCCACAAAGGAATGTGAAATGACCACCCGACTATAATTCCCCCACGCTCGACCTAGAAAGAGCTGCAGGGAAGTTGGGAATCATCACAACAATTTCAGGCTTATTTCATCCACATGCCTCCCACAAGGTTAGTCGGACGCGGTACCTTGTCATTTGCAGTGATGTTGCATCGCATTAGCATGAAACCAGTTTCGTCTGAGGAATTGCAGCGTTGTTGCGCCGCAACTGCACCTCCATAACCTGAGGGCTTCCCGTAAAACGCACAGCCCTGCATCAAATCGTTGTTAGTTGTACAGCTGCATTGCTCTGCGAATGCGGCTTGAGAAACAAACCTCATATATGGACCTTCCGTTGCCAAAAATGAAGTCAACGTTTCCTTCAAAGTAGCAATTTTGAAAGTAGTGAGTTCCCTGAAAAAAGAAAGTCAGTCAAACTACCCTTCCAGCGAGTGCTATGGATTATTGAAATACGACACACATACCTTATGGTCATAGAGCGTGTCTTGCCAGCCCACAAAGCGGCAGTTATAGAACGCCGCATAGTTTCCTGATATTCGCAGAGCAACAGCCATCCCCGCAGGGTAAGTTTCGTTATCGAAAGGCGGTGGGAGTTTTGCGGAATTCTGCAAATCTCCATGGACCGTCAGAAGGAGTTTACAATTGGCAGCATCGTAGCAGCCATCAACAGTACCTGAAACGTGATGTTGTTTGCAACGAAGAAGTCTGCGTAGACACAGACAGAGCAGGTGCTGTAGGTCCCCAAGGGAATGCCATCATCATTGAGCTTTCCAGCCCAATCGTTGTAAGAAATTATAGTGTTCTCCGCATCTGTTCCTTGCAACATAAGGCTTGTCCTCTTATTCCGCGGTATGACGATCTTTTCCCTGATTCAGTGTGGAGCGTTAGTCGACTATCTCGATTGAAAACGGCCCATTCGAGGCTGTCAAAACTTACTTGTAGTAGCCTGGAAGAATCAGGATGACGACTCTGTCCAGGCCAAGTGTCAATGCCGTGTCCACAGCATCTTGCACTGACGTGAAGTTCCCGAGCTCAGGATCCGAAGATACCACGATTGATGGCGTGGGATAGTCGCCCCATACGAGCTTAGGCTCCCTAGCCATCGCATAGCTGCGAAGAACCTGCTCTTCCGTTTCCCAGCCACGAAACTGGCTCACGCTCAGGGCTCTTCTCCTGGTGTCTCGCTGTGTCAACGTTGCACGTCCCCTTGCCATATTTGGGGACACAGTGATTCCCACAACGGCATGTAGGTATGACATTGAGAAGGCCAATCCTGGAAACAAGCACATGATTAGTCCACAGAGCTCGCGTTGAAGTTCCGCCGCATGCTACGAATGCCTTACTTGTCAGAAACAAGATGGCCACGAGCAACCCGTTCTGACGGCCTTGCAGTGTGAAATTCGAGGCAGCCATCGGGTAGTGCTAGTTTTGTTGATTGTTTCAACAACAACTTGAAGGATGCACTTTCTAGAAAAGAGAGGGGTTATGAATGAGGTGAGTTCAGTCAGTCAGCAGATCGCGGGCAAATCGGGGTGTGCAGAATGCCATTTTGTGTCTGCGGTTTGGGAAAGTGGCGAGGTGCTTGTCGAGATTTGTTTCCTGGGTTTTGGTTTGGTTTGGTCTGGGCCGGGTACAGTAGAATGTTCTGTGGTGGTCGATTGGTTGGGACAGCGATTTGTAACCGTCGATCAACATTGTCAGAAGCGGAACCGACGCTACGCAACTTGATTCGTCCGAACCAGCTCGTTACAAGAATGAAGAGAACACAAAACTCTCCGTACAAGCTATCCCACACCGTTTCCCAAGCAAATACCGTGTACACTACAGTTTCAGAATTCACCTCACCATGGCCATCCCCTCCCATCCCCTCCCTTGGGCAAGGTTTGAATCCCTCTACAATACCTAAGCATTTCTGACCACAACAGCACTACTTTCTCCACATCGGTTTAGACAACATGCCAGACGCACAAGCATCATGCTCTAGTACGTTGGTTGCTGAGCACAATAACTTATGTCTCCTGTCAGCACGCACGCCGGACACTCGGTGACTGTCTGGTGCATTCCGCAAAGACAGCATGGCTGTCCGATCGCAACAACACCTGGTGTCTGGCCGTCCATGGCTGTCACGGAGGCAGCAGCCTCTACTGTCTACGCGGGTGATTCTTGCACTGCTTCTTTGCGCCTCGTTTTCGCGAGTAATGCACGCTCAGTATTCACCTGCATTGGAAAATCTGCCATTGAACCCGGAAATGACGGTTCTGCAACGAATCACCAACGATCCCGGAAATCCGTCTAGTCATCCACCTCCGGAAGTGGATCAACAAACGCTAGACGATCCCGTGTCGAGCGACGCAGCTTCAGTCCATGAGCATGCCCGATCGCGGTCATTGCGCGAGGATCTTACCACGCCGACCGCCAAAACGTCCAGTCCTGCTTCCCAACCACCATTCCCCAGCAACCTTCCGGCGACACCCCCACCTGTTCCTGGGACCCATCGGATCCTCAAAGTTAAAGCTGCAAACCCTTCGGGTTCGGGAGTAAACAATTCGTCCGCTCTCTTTCCATCATCCGTTGCTCTGTCTGGAAGCGGCCTCCACCACGCCACTGCCGGCACACGAGCCTGCTTCCTCGCCGTTCTCCTTGACGCCAACGGCCGACCGTCTGGTGCTGGTGCAGCCTCTCGGGCCCAGAAACGGCGCCTGACGTGGCGCGTCCAGTTATCTTTACTGCACGCTCCTCCTTCTCCCCCTCCCCCGTCTCCGCCTCCCCCGAACCCGCCTGCGCCTCCTCCTCCCGCGCCACCTTCTCCTGACGGAAATGGAGAGGGTGGGAAGGCCAAGCCAGAGGGAAGGCGGCGGCTGCATGAAGGATTTATTTCCAGAAGCAGTACAGGCGCAGCTGTTGATAATGGTGCTGCTGCTGGTGATGCTGGTGATGCTGGTGATGCTGGTGATGCTGGTGATGCTGGTGATGCTGGTGATGCAGGTGATGCTGGTGATGCTGGTGATGCAGGTGATGCTGGTTATGCTGGTTATGCTGGTGATGCTGGTTATGCTGGTGCTGGTGGTGCTGATGGTGCTGGTGCTGGTGCTGGTGCTGGTGCTGGTGCTGGTGCTGGTGCTGGTGCTGGTGCTGGTGCTGGTGCTGGTGCTGTTACTGACGCTGGTGGAACCGGTCTGATGATTGAAGCCGCTGGGAGAACACAGGGTGGGGAAACTATAGGGGAGAGGCGGAGGTTGCGTGCCAAGAGTAAGCATAAGGGTAAGAGTAAGAGCCTGGAGACAGAGGGCAATGGGAAAGGTGGCGCAAGGAACACGGAGAAAGAAACGGACAACGAGGCTGAGAAAGGGACAGAGGAATTCGGACCCGGCTCGACAGTGTCAGGCAGAGGGAAGGAGAAGAGGGGAGAGGCAGAGGCCAGAGAGGAGGGAAGAAAGAAGAGTGAACGAGGCGAGGGAGATACGCGATGGGAGGAACCAGACGAGATGAGGGATGACTGGTTGGTATCAGGGGGTCGGATGCAGTATGACCCTAAGGGAGGCTTCTATGTGGGCTGCTATGTTGCTCCCCTGCCTGGAGTGTTCTCTCTCAGTCTCTCCCTCACGCTCATGCCTCCTAGCGATCCACCCACCACCCTGGAGTCCAACAGTGGTCTACTGTCAGCAGCAGAATCAACTTCAGCAGGAGCACGAGAAGCAGTAGGATCAGCAAGAACAGCAGCAGGAGGAGGAGGAGGAGGAAGCGAAGCTGGGGATGCAGTGGAAGCAGCGGTGTTGGTACACGTGGCCAAATATCAAGTGACAGTGGTGTCGGAGGCTGGGCGGACAGGGAATGCTGGGGAAAGGGACGGCCAGGGGAATGCTGAGAATGCAGTGGGAGCAGGCAGCAGTTGGTGTAACAGCACAGCCATTTCACGGGGACATGGCAGATATGCGAGCTGGCATGGTGAGTTCACATGGTGCTGCCTAATTGATATGGTGTGATCTGAAACGGGCGCATGCCTGGCCACGCCTCATGCCTTTCGCCATATCTACCTCACCTTCACCTCCACCTTAATTCTTGCCCACTTCCACCCCTTTTCGTCCCGCCTCTCTCCCCCCACCCACCAGGCAGCAGCATTACTCTTCCCACATGCCGAATTTACCCCTGGACTCCCCACCATGCCTTCATCCCTCTAGCCGGCCACTCCCTCGCAGTCTTTGGCGACTCCAATTTGCGAGCCTGGGCGGCCTACTTTGTCACCTTTCTCTCTGGTGGGGCCCACGATCTCATGCACCCTTCAGACCATCGCCCGCTTCAGGCAGCTTATGAGCTCACCTGGGCTCAGAGCGCCTATGACGGCTGGCCCAGGCAGGAAAGGACAAAGTTTTTCGAGCTGCCGGTGGGCCTGCGGTTCGGGCGACGGGCGAGGATCCGGGCAGAGGCAAGAGAGGGTTGGCAGAGCTTTGGGAGGGTGCGGGTGGGAAACGCGTGCGTGAACCAATCAGGGATGGACATGTGGTTATTCCCCCGCGCCACTGATAAGCAGATGAGCTTTTCACAGATACTTGGGGAAGAGATGATGAGCAGTGGTGGGAGAGGAGGAAAGGTGGGAGGGTCAGAGGGCAGGAGGAGCCTCCTACAAGCAGATTCTGCAGAGAACATCTCCACGGCCTCATCGAGCCAGTCAGTTGAAACTGAGCAAAGACCAAGGGACAGAAGCAAGGGGAGTGGGAACGATAATGCACCAGGGAGACGGGAGCTGTCCCTTGTAAGTGGCAGGTTCAGCAGCAAAGTGTCATCTATGAGCGTGAAAGGGTCTTCTACCACCGCTCCATGGCTGCCTCCCCGCCGGCGCTTCGGGCGAGTGGTGGCCGGGGTGACTGTGAGAGACCTGGAGGAGTATGAGAGTGCAGCCGAGTATGCGTCAGCCCTGCAGCAGCGAGTGGTGCAGTCACTGCTGCAGCTGGTGCGGCACCCTGCACACATAGTGTGGGTGGGAGGCTGGGCGGTGCAAGCAGTTAAGGGACTGCAAGGGCAGGGGGCACGTGGAGGAGAGCATGCAGGGGGGAGTCAGTTGGGGGAGGGAGAGCAGCAGCAGCAGCAGCAGCGGTGGTGTACGGTGGGAAAGGGGTCTCGGGTGAACGACGCACGTGCACGGTTGTTTGATGCTGCTGCATACAAGATCATGCGCTCGCATGGTGTTCCGTTCCTCGACATGCGTTCGCTCACTGAAACCCGCCCGTCCCTCTGCCCTGACGGGTGCCACTACCTCTGGCCGGTTCACCATGCACTCTCCCTCCTGCTGCTCCACCTCTGGTCCCCACTCCTTCCCCCCATGCCTCTCTCCTTCAGCAACAGCAGTAGCAGCAGCAGCACCGCCACCAGTGGTAGCAGCAGCAGCACTAGTAGTGGTGGTGTGCTGTTGCCTGCAGGGTGTGTGGATGCAGATGCGCCCTCCAACGTAACCAAGGAGGAGGTAGTGGTGGACAGAGAAGAGGCGCTCAAGAAAGCAGAGATGGAGGGCGGTGGGGAGATGGAGGGAGAGAAATCTGGAGGAGGAGGAGAGGGAGGGGGAGGAGGAAGCGCTGGGTCTGGGTCTGGGAGCAAGAAAAGGCTTGCGGACGCTGGTGGTGATGTTGGGGGTGCGAGTGACGAACATGAGAATGAAGAGAGGAACGAGGACGGAAAAGGGGCTCCAGGGGAGGCGGGAGAGGGGAAGCCATGGCCGGATGTGGACGCTCTAGAGCAGTTAGACCTAGGCAGGTGGTTCCCTGGGCGAGGCACGCTGCTGGAATCCACTAGTGCTCTTCAGAGGTGGGTAAATATGGTTAAGGGGGCAGCAACTAGAGGAGGAGGAGGAGGAGGAGGAAAGGAGGGAGTGGAGGAGGACAGGCAGAGCTCAGAGTGGGATTCACTGCAAGAAGAGAGGAGGGGAGATGGAGGAGCTGCAACAGGTGGTGGTGAGGATGGGAGTGGGGTGAGTGGCAGCAAGGGAGATCAAGGAAGACATGGTGCAATGGCTGCTGCTGCTGCAGCAGTTCTGTCAAGCATTTCTATCTCAGAGGTTCCTCTTCCCCTTCGAGATTTGGCCCCCTACCTTCTACACCTTCCCATTAACCGTTCCTCTTCCCCCTCCTCCTCCTCCTCTCCCCTCGCGTACTACCTCCCCTTCTCTCGCTCCATCCACCTGGATCACTCCGTGGTGCGCCAGACTCTCGCCCGCTGCTTCGACATCCGCAACGACTGCCGCAACCTGCGCGCCTCCTCGCTCTCGCGCTACCGCCGTGACTGCCTGCCCAAAGACACAGTTATGACAGCAGTGGCTGCGGGGGTGATCGAGCGCTGTGAGAGCTGGTGCCCAGGGGAAACCATGTGCTGGAATAGCAACAGGAGAGCGGCTGCTACATTGTCGAAGGCAGCGGTGAGGGCGCCGGTTAAGCTGAGAAGTGAGGAGGTGCTTCTGGTGGAGGTGAGAGAGGCGTTTGTCACTCCTGCTGGGGAGGTGTATGGGGTGGGATGGAGGGCGAGAGGGGGGAGAGAGGGGAGTAGTGGTGCAGGGAAGGGAGGAGATGATGAGAGTAGTGAGAGTGAGCATGGTGCTGATGGGGATGGTGGTGGTGGTGATGGAGGGAGAGGAGGAGGCGGGGGAGAGTTGGAGTTGAAGGATAGAATGCTCGCCCTTGATGTGCGATTGGGCCAGTGCCACCGACCCATGGAGCTCCTGCGAGTGCGGACAGACTGGCGGTGGGGAGCGGAGCATGCAGCACGCACAGTGTTCATCGCAGACGCTGAAGAGGATGGCGTTGTGGCAGCCGTCACCACATGCCTCACTCGCATCGCCCTCTGGAGGCAGCAACTGCTGCAGGACCCATCCATCCGCATCCACGTGCGGGGGCTGGAAGGAGGGGAGGGGGAGCACCCGCACTACCTGCCGTCAATGCTCGCTTTTCTATCCATCTCGCCGGATCGCCTGGTGGCTGGGGACCTGTATGCGCACCGAATACTGCTCATGGACCCCCCCTGCCGTGCTCCCTTCCGGGCTTTGGACGGAGTTCTCCTGCTCAACCTGAGGAGAGTCATTCACGAGCAATTGAGTGGGGTGGTGGGGAGGGTGGGGAGTATGCGTGTTGGTGGCGACGATGGGGCTGACAGCAAGGAAGGGAGTGGGGATGGGGGTGGAGGAGACGGTGATAGTAGTGAGGGTGTGGTAAGCAGCAGCACAAATGGGAGCAAGAGCAGTAAGAAGAAGGAGCAGAAGGAGAAGCAGAAGAAGAAGAAAAAGAAGAACAGTAGTTCAGGAAGCAGCCAGAGGAGGGTGCTCTGGGAGGTTGGGGCAGGTGCAACGGGAAAAGAGGTGGCTGAGAATGGCACTATTGTGATTGTACAGAACCACTGGTTCAGGAAGGTGAGCTCTTCACGATGGCTGCACACATTATGGTGCATGGAAGACCTTTAATTTTGCTCATTGTCTTTATGTCATTGTCACCTTTAATTTTGTGCTGCTTGCTCTTGATTTTGCTTCTGCTTTTGCTTCTACAGGTGCGAAATCTGGAGGAGTTTGTGTCTTCCCTCAGGCAGCAAGTATTGCGGCCTGTCGACATTATCACAGATGACGGCCGGCACAATGTCTCTGACCTCTGGCCACGCTTCTACCGCGCAGCTCTTGTCATCGCCCCGCACTCAGACCTTCTTGCTCATATTGTGGCGTGCCGCCAAGGAACTCCAGTGCTGGAATGGATGCAGCCGTGGCGTGCGGATGACCCTGCTAGCGCCAGTCCCCGGTTTCAAACACTGGCAACAGGCCTCGACCTGCCATACTACGTTTCTGTGGTTGACTTCTCTGACCCGTTCGATGACCCAAGGTCGGCAGACCAAAAGAAGGAATCAGAGGATGAGGAGGGATCAGTGAGTGTGGACCTAACAGGTGGCTCGTATGTCGAGGTGAATGTTCGGCAGCAGGTGCGCAACGTGGCAAGGATTCTGGAGGACGTGGATGCAGGTGAAGGGTGGAAGGAGAAGTGCCAAATAGTTGAGTACCAAACTAGCTAAGTCGGTTGGAGGGGCACGATGATAGGATGATAAGGAAGCAGTTCCGAACAGATGCAGAGTGGAACAACAGAAGGCAAGATTCTAACATGGAATAACCCCCATGGTCCGTGTACATTCCATCCTTCTACAAGTTGGTCTATTATTCATGTGCTTTTATGATAAGATGCGTTTCATGTATTATTCAAATATCACTTCACAATTGTTACGTGAACAATTTTATAGCTGGTATAATCAAGGGCCCCTGCAATTTGCGCAGCGCGAATGCAGGTCCTGGCGGGCTCATCAGAGTGCGGTGCCTGCCGCACGTTTGGATTTGTGTCAGTGCCCGGGCTTCAGTCCTTCAACACGCGGTCTGGAGCTCAATCCGTCCATCCATAAGGCGACCCCCTCCCTCCATGACCATCCGTTCTCATTGCATCACTTTCACTCCTCCGTAGAAAGCTTCGTTCTTCCGCTGACCCGCTTTGATCATCTCCCTAGAAAGTTTCTTCAATTATCGTGCGTTCGGCCTCCCCTCGCTGCTCCAGTGCACCGAGCCTGAGTCTGTTTAGATCCGCTTGGTCCGTTAGCCATGAATTCTCTAGGCGGTGATTTCCCAGCTGCGTCTTCGAAGAACGCGAAGACGCAGTCACAACCAGTCGACCATCATTCAGTGTCGAAGAGGTGCGAGGCTTGTATTTCAGTTCGACCTGGGTGTGTGATTTTGGCTCATTCACTGTACGAATCTTGAAATTAAACGTCTAATCTGTACTGCTTCTGCTACCTTCTCCGATTCTTCACACAGGTTGCAATCAGAGTTGATGAAGCTCATGGTACGTGTCTCGTTATACGCTCTTTCGCACAATCGCACGCTCTTCACGCATCCCAGCTGATGTCTCTTTTGTTGGAACTTGCAGACATCCAGCGACCCTGGAGTTTCTGCTTTCCCTGAAGGCGACAACATTTTCTCCTGGGTCGGTACTATCCAGGGTTCTGCCGGAACTGTGTATGAAGGCTTGACGTACAAGCTCAGCCTGAAGTTCCCTTCCGACTACCCGTTCAAGCCTCCGACTGTCAAGTTCGAGACCTACTGTTTTCACCCGAACGTGGATCAGTTCGGTAACATCTGCCTCGACATCTTGAAGGTTGGTCGCAGTCTTGTCCCGAGATATGCTCGTGTCACAAGTCTGGACGATAAACTAACATCACTTTTTCTTTCACGATTCAGGACAAGTGGTCGTCCGCATACGACGTCAGAACCATTCTTCTTTCCATCCAGAGCCTTCTAGGAGGTGAGTCCATGCCCGTGCAAGCGCCGTTGTTTGTCTTTTCCAGATTTGGATCCAGATTCTCATGTCGATCTTTTGTCGCCCTTTTTATGCAGAGCCCAACAACGACAGCCCGCTGAACGGACATGCGGCGGCGTTGTGGCCGCATCAAGAAGGTATGAAGGAAGGATAACGGTGGATCCCATGATTACCGAGTCTGAGGTTGTTTTAACACGTAACCTGCGCTGTCTGATGGCAGAGTACCAAGAACTCCTACACAAGAAGCAACTGCTTGACTGCAGAAGTCAACTGGAGGACGACAGGCGGATCTTTAATTGACACTCATCTCCATTTATTCATTCAAAGAGCATCGCAGCGGACCATCTGAGCGTTTCACTTCCGCTGATGGATCAATCCCTGATCACCACCCTTTGTCTTTTACCGTCCTTTCAATGACCAGAAGTCTCAAATACTGGGACAGGAATGCACCCTCACCAAGTCTAGTATCCCATGCATTGTGTCCACCATTGAATAACTAAGGAGTTCAAGCTTCTCATCCCACTAATGGACACCTGCAGGTCTAAGAATAAACGCTTTGCTCTTCGGAGAAGACATCTAATTTACACTGACTGATAACTTGAGATTCACCTGAGCAGGTTACATGACTAATCAAATACTGATATATAAGCAGCACACAAGGAGAGCAGAAGCGGAAGTCAAAAGCAGGAAGGGGATATGAGATGCGCCAAGTGCACTACATTCTCCTTGTGGAGCCTAAATCTGTCGTCCCTCATATGCTGCATAGCCACCATACAAAGCCATCCCTTCAGCACTACTATCCTCCAATGAAGCATGCCCTGCAGCAAGAGCACGCCGTTCTTGAGCACTGTGGAAATATGGCTGGGTAGTGTCTTGGTCCACCCAAGCTGTTTCCATATCTCGATTGTCACGGCGTGGAGTCACATAAATAGGCAAACCAGCAGCTGCAGCAGCAGCGGCGGCTGCAGCAGCATAGTGTGAAGGTGGCCACTGTGAGGGAGGCAGGGAGGCAGGGCAGGAACTAGGGCCAAAGTGACCCGGGCTAGGAAGCACAGCGGCTGCTGAATCAAGTGAAGAAGATCCAGGGTAATAGCCACTCGCTGACAAGGCAGGCAGTGGCAGAGGCTCAGTTTGGTTTGAGTGGAAGGGAGGCAAAGCCAATGGCTGTGGCCGGATTAAGTGGTGGGGAGGGAAGCGCTGGATGGCAGACGCAGGAGGAAGAGGAAGAGGAGGGGCAGTGCGGCTGCCAAGGGGAGTGCTGTTTGCTGCTGCGCCCTGCTGTGGCCTCTGCCACTGCTGCGGCTGGCCGTGAGGATCCCTGTAAAGTTCCGGCTGATGGTGGTGATTCTGCTGGTGGTGATCTTGCTGCTGCTGCTGTGGATGGCAGGGCAGATCATCACTATACAGGTCCTCCAGGTGCTCTCTGAGATCAGCACGGTACGCTGCTTGCTTCCCTAGATGTCGTACCCGAAGAACAGGGGGTGTGGGAGGCCGGTACACACGAGCAGCAGAAGCAACAAAGGACGGTGGGGGCCCTGGCAACCGCTCAAGCCGGATCGGCTCCCATGCATCTTCCATGGGTGAAGAATGCTCGTCACAATCCTCTGTAGCATTCTCACTTTGCCCTTCCTCTTCATCATCGTCCTCCTCCTCCCCTTCCCCCTCTGATCTACTGTCTCCTTCCTCTTCCTGTTTCCATTCCTCTTCCCCTCTTTCACCCATCTCGTCATCCTCCACTTCTTCCTTCTCACCCTCTGACCACTCCTCTTCCTCCTCCTCCTCGTCCTCCTCCTCACTGGACCATTCCTCCTCACTCCCCCCCTCATCTCTCCGTCCCCTAGTTGCCAACTCACTGCCACCATCCCTTTCACCTCCCCTCCTCCCTCCACGCCTCCCGCCCCATCCAATCTCCTGCTTCAACCACACTACCTCTCGCCGTCCCTTTCCCGTCTCCTCTTCCCTCCCCTGCCCGTATCCCCCCCCAGAGCCCACCGTCACTCCCATCAGCTCAAGAGGCAACAGCTTGTGCTGCCGCTTCTGCTGCCGCTGCTGCTGCTGGCTGGGAGCAGGCCATGACTCCGTGCTGGTTACCTCATCCTCTTCCGCAGCTGCAGCGACAGCTGAAGCAACAGCAGCAGCTGTAGCGGCTGTAGCAGTAACCTCCAGAAGCCTAGTTTCGCATTCCTGCCGCAGCTCATGCCACGGCTTATCCCCCCTTTCACGCTCACTTATACCCTGCTTCCTGTCCAGCGACTCATCCCTCTCCTCACGCCTCTCCACAACTCTACTCCTGCCACGCCCATACCACAGGCTGCTGCCCTTGCTCACCCTCCCTTCCTGTCCCTTTATCCACGGGCTGCCTTTCTCTGAACCTCGCTCGCCCACCGCCATCCCACTTTCATTAACCTGCACAGGGCCCTGTCTCTCTTCCTCTACTTTACTCCTCCCCTTGTGCTTCCTTTTGTCTCTCGCCTTTGCTTTGCCCTTGTCGGCAGCAGCCCCGGCCACCCCTCGTTTCAGGCCCCAGAGCTTGAACGAAGTGATCTTGCCAGAGGAGGTTGCTTCTGGAGACAAGTCCGCTGATCCCTCCTTCGCCTGCTTGTTTCTCATCATTTCTTCCTCGCATTTCGCTTCCCCGCCTTGATTCTTCTTACTGCTGCTCCTGCTTCCAGCCTTCCCTTGATCCTCCAAAGGAACCGCTCTGTTATTCACAAGACCATCACCAGCTGGAGCAGCAGCAGCAGCTGCCGCCGCCACCGCCGCAGCAGCAGCGGAGGAAGCAGCAGATGCAGCAGCAGCTGCAGAGACAGGAAGCATGAACCCCTGAGGAGAGGCATGTTTGTGGGGGAATGCTGCAGGCACCTGGCAATCACCACTGGCTGTGATTATAACAGAATCCAGGCTGCTGCTGCTTGCCTGTGCATGCTGCCGCAGGACAGAAGCGAAATACAGCAAGGGAGAGCGGGACGGCGAGTGGTGCTGCTGCCGCCTAGAGAAACGCGAGGGGTGCTGGTAAGGAGAGTCTATGGGTGAGTAATATTGGGGAAGGGCGGGGTACTGATGCTGGCTGTGGCATGGTGACTCTAGAGAGGCGGCAGCACGAGGGATGTTCAAAACCTGCTGCGGGTGCTGGTGCTGCTGTTGGTGCTGCTGGTGGTGCTGGTGGTGCTGGTGGTGGTGCGGGAAATGGTGTTTGTTCTGATGGTAAGGCGAGGTGTTAGCGGAGGAAAAAGCAGCAGATGCATTGGGGTCAAACGAACTCCACACCTGCACCCTCTCACCTGCTGCTACCCCACCACCACTACCACCTCCCCCTCCTCCTCCCCCTCCTCCTGCTCCTCGTCCTGCTCCTCGTCCTGCTCCTGCTCCTCCTGATTTTCCAGAAAACGCATCTACATCCCCTGACCACCCTCCCAATCTCACCCCGGCACCACCACCACCACCGGCAACAGCCGTGGCTGCCGCTGCTGCTGCCGGCACTGTTCTAGGCCCAACTGCCACAGCCTCAACCACACTCGATTCAGAGTCACTAGCGTTCGCACCCCAATCATTCAATTCTCCTCCCCCCCACGTCTTCGCTTGTCCGTCCACCTCCTCCTCTCGTCCTCCTCCCCACCCCCTCCCTCTCCCTTCCGGCTCTCTCCCGTCCCCCCCCGTCCCACCCCACGCCCTCTCTTCCACCACCACCACCTCCCTATTCTCTATCCTCGCTATAGCACTTTCACCTCCCTCCGCAAACCCCCTTACCTCCTGCACTGATGCTCCACCTGCTGCCGCGGCCGTGGCATAGCGAGGCGCGGGCATGGCAAGGGGAACGGGAGAATTTGGGCCGGGAGGAGCAGCAGCAGCAGCAGCGGACAGAGAAGATTGAGGAAGAAGGGTGGAGGAAGTGGGAGGGAGAGGAGGGAAGGTGTGAGGGGCGTGGTAGGTGCTGCTGTCTTGACACGTGCTGTCTTGAAGGCTCCTGCTGCGTGAAGCACCAGACGACCCAGAGCTCCCTACAAACATTATGCCGCCTCTTGGCCTGCCCTCCCACATCGAGTCCTGCTGCTGCCCACCTCCCTGCCCTTCCCTCGCTCCCTGCTTTTGCTGGCCCTGCTGCCCCTGCTGCTGCCCCTGCAGCCCCTGCTGCTGCCCCTGCTGCTGCCTATGCGGCCCTTGCTGCTCTTTCCCTATCCCATGCTCTCCTTGCTGGTACCACTGCGCACGTACCTCCACCTTTTCCCACAGATCATCATCGCCCTCCTCCTCCTCATCATCCTCATTCTCCTCCTCCCCTCCGCTCCCGCTCCCTCCCTCCTCTAGAGTACCCAGCCTACCCCTCTCTGCTCTCTCAACCACCTCCAGCCAACCCATCACCAGCCAATCCCTGCCCGCCACCTGTACAGCGCGCCAGAGCTGCAGGTCCACCACTTGGCCGTGCAGGGGCGAGGGGATGGTTGTTGAGGTGGCGAGGGTGGGAGGGGGGTGAGGGGGAGTGTGTGGGGTGAGTGATACGAGTGATGTGAAACGGAACCTGGGTGGGGGACATGGGGATGGGGAGGACAGCAGAAGAGGGAGGAGGCACAGGATGATGTGTAAAGCTTGGGATGAAGTGAGACGGGAGGGAAGCAGGGGTGGTGGAGGTTGACGCTGATGCTGGTCGCATGGTTGGCATAGATAAAGATGAGTACGAGACAGCAAATGAGTGCGAGCGAGCACCAAACAAACACGCGTACCATCCATCCACCACGCTCACATGCACATGCACTCACACCGTCACACGCATGCATGCACACACACGCACACGCACAAGCACATGATGACCCAACCACCCACCCACCCACTCATTCACCCACCCACCTGATCTTGACGGACTCGGCGCGTTCCAGTGACTCCATCGCCATATGCCAGTCCAGAGGCCTCATCCGCCCCCCACTCAGCTCCCACACTCTCCTCCCCTCCAGCTGCACTTCTCTCTCCCTCTCCCCCGCCCCTTCCCCGCCGCCCATCCTTCTCTCTTCGCCTCTGCGAATGGCCGCAACTTGAGCAGCAGCAGCAGCAGCAGCAGCAGGACCGGTACCAGACGTGTTAGCAGCTGCAGCAGCAACAGCAGAAGTGTCATAGCCATAACCTTTGTAACCATCCCCATAATAATAGTCATAATCCCCATCAGCACCAGCAGCCGCAGCAGCAGCAGCAGCGGCTGCAGAAGCAGCAGCTGCAACAGTGCTGTGAGCAGCAGCGGAGTTCGGAAAGGCGTGTGCAACAGCAGCATGGCTGGCAGCCACAACGAGGCCTGACTCTGCTTCGAGCAGCAGCGCGGACCTATCCGAGGGTGCTCGAGCCACACTCAGAAACGCTGCTGCTGCTGCTGATGCTGCATGCACGGATGCCAGACCGGGGGGCAGCCATGGGGGTAGTGAGCTGGTGCTGCTGCTGCTGATGTTGATGTTGCTGTCGCTGGCTCTGCGCTCATGCCGCTGATTCCTGCTGCTGCTGGGACGGCTGGTGTCAAAGGACGCGCTTTCTGCATTAAAGGCAAAATAACCACCACCAGCACCAGCACCACGATCAGCAGACCCAGCAGCCGCAACAGCGGTAGCAGGAGACGAACCAGCAGCAGAGCCACCGCCTCTCCCAATCAGCGCACTCATCAGAGGATTGCACCCAGGCTGGAAACCTCGAGACACACTCACACTGCCATCGCTGTTGCGCCTCACACGCACTGCCCCATCCCACCCCTCACCCCGCCCCCCTCCATGCCCCTGCTCCCCTTGTCCCCCCTGAGCCTGGCCCCGAAACCTCTGCAATTCCTGCAACCCCTGCAACCCCTGCAAGCCCTGGAAGCTCACGTGGGCGAGCCTGTGCGTGTACCGGTGGCGCTCGGTGTGTTCGTCGGGGTGGGACTGCGACTTGGGGAAGAGGGAGACGGAGAAGGGTGATGCAGATGCCCGGTCGGGGCCGGGCAGGGAGTGGCTCTTGAAGCGGCTGCGGTGGGCCAGGAGGTGCGCTGATGCGGGCGGTAATGGGGGTGGGGCAGATGGTGCTAGTGATGCTGCTGCTGCTGCAGACGATGATGCTGATGCTGCTGATAGTTGAGATTGGCCAGAGGTGATCAAGGGAGCACCTGGGGAGGGGGAGGAAGGAGAGAGGACACAGAGGTAATTGCAATTTTTTTTAATTATAATTCTCAAAAATCTCTCACCTGGGCGGGGGGGAGAGGAAGGAGAGAGGACACAGAGGTGATTGTGGGCTTGTGGTGACGAGCGCACAGCAACGAAGGCAGAACAAGACGATCAAGGCAACAGAGAGTACACAAACACAAAGCGACCAGGTTTCTTTCCATTCTCTCTTACCATCAACATCAGCCGCGGCAGCAGCAGCATCCCAGGAGCCACCATAAGAGCCATGGAATGCAGCAGCACGTTCAGGAATCACACCATCCACTCCTGCTCTATCCACCCCAGCTGCCGCAGCCGATGGGGCAGCAGCAAAACCAACAGCAATACCAGCCGAGAGCAGAAGGGCGGAGTCAGCAGGGCCAGGTGGGAAGAGAGGTGGGGGAAGAGACGGAGAGACAGGAGCAGCAGCAGCAGCAGCAGCAGCAGGGGAGTCAATGGAAGGCTCCTGGATGCTGCCCCAGGGGTCGGGGGAGAAGAGTGGCGAGTGCATGGCAGAGCGTGACACCGCTGATCCTGATGCCGATGCAACACCGCCGCCACCACCGCCACCACCGCCGCTGATGAACGCCTTCCACCCGCCGTGCCTCTCTCTGCCTGTGACTGTGTCCGTGTGGCTCTTGGACAAGAGGCGCGGAGGGGGGGACGCTGCCCGCCGTGCTCTCACACCTGCTCTTGCTCTTGCTCTTTCGCTCGCTTCGCCCTTGCTGTCTGCAGCTTCCGGCATGGCTCCTAAACCGTTTCCTTTGCCCCCTTCTCCTCCCCCTCCTCCCCCTGCTGCTGCTGCTGCCGCTGCCGCTCCTTTGCGTGGTTTGAGCGGGCCTGACTTGCTCTTCCGCCGGCCCCAGAACGTACTCTTGCTGCTCGCTTTATCACTGCTGCCATCACGACCAACCCCGTCAGCACCACCACCAACAGCAGTAGCAGCAGCACCAACGGCAGAAGCAGCAACAGCAGTAGAACCACCACCACCACCACCACCACCACCACTGGCCATCCCTCCCAGCTTCCCCCTTTCACCATCCCCCACCTCCCCCTCTTCCGCAAGCCCTCCCCCCAACCCGTCCGCAAGCTGGCGCCTCCCCTGAGGGGGGGGGGGCGAGGCAGCGCGGCGGGCACCGCCCATAATCCCCCCAGCGCCTGACCCTCCTTCCCCCGCACTGGAACCCCCCCCCTGTGGTCTGCGCGGGTGTAGCGGCCCTGACTTGCTCTTGCGCCTGCCCAGCCCATGCTTCCATAGAGTACTACTAGTATTACTGTTACTATTACTACAACTGGTAGTAGCTGGTGCGGGGACTGTTGGGGAAGGTAGCAGCGGTATCGAAAAGTCGCCCGCGTCCACGCCTGGTCCCTCCCCTACTTGCGTGTCGCTCCTGCTCCCACCTGGCTTACTCCACCCACCATCTCCACCCATGGTTGTTCCTCCTTCTCCTTCTCCTCCGCCTCCTCCTCCTCCTACTATCCCAGCGCTTCCCCCACCTGTTTCCCCCTGCCGTCCTCTCTCGCCCACCAACCCATCGACAGGCGCGTCTGCTGCGCCGCTCCCTCCGGGTCTCCGCACCGCCAACCCCAATGCCACCAAAGGCGGCGGCTGCGCATCAACCTCTGCATTGGCCTGCCGCTCCCGCCTGCCCAAATCTTCCAACTCCCCCAACTCCCCCTGCTCCCCCCCCTCCCCCGGCTCATCTCCGTACCTCTCGCGTGACACCTGTCTATGACTGGCCGGTGCCTCAAGCCCGCTTGCCCGCAGCTGCTGCGCGCGCGCATCCCAGTCCAAGCTGCTGCGGAGGAGGGAGGTCCGCGGAGGTGGGGACGCCGCCCTCCGCTCCCCTCTGCTGCTGCCCCCAGCCGCGCGCGCAGCCGCTGCAGCAGCGGCGGCAGCAGCCTGCCCCTTGCGCAGGCGCACCGGCCCTGACTTGCTCTTCCGCTTCCCCTTGCCGTAGCTCCAGAGACTCGCTCCGCCCAGCAGCGGACTAATAGGCGCACCCGCCTCTGCTCCCCCGCGTTCCCCCGCGCGCTCTCTCTCGCCATCGCCCCCGCCGCCTCCGCCTCCGCCTCCGCCTGCCCCTGCGCCATCCGCTGCCCCCCGCGAAGTAGTCAGCGCCGTCGGCGCAACTGGCGGGCGTCCGCCTCCCCCGAGAACCGCGTTTGCCGCCGCGCCCGCGCCTCCAGAGGCCCAAGCGGACTCCGACAGCGAGACGCTCTTAGTCGTTCGGCGCGCCGAGGCCGCCGCGGGCAGAACCGCGGGGGGGAACCCGGACATTGCGCCCGCCGTTACCGGAGTCCGCGGTCCTCCGGCGCCCGCTGCCGCCGTTGCTGCCGCGTGCGGGAAGCGCTGGTCGGTGAGAGACTTGCTCTTAAACATCCGCCGCCCGCCGCCACCAGACGACCGCGCGCCGCTCCCCAGCGCCGCCACCGCCGCGACTGCGCCCACCATTGCGCCAATCCGCCCGCGCCCGCCGCGGTCGGCGCGCTCCGGCTCCGCCAGTCCGCCCCCGCCAAGCAGCGATTCGGGCAAAGAAACCCTCCGCGCCTCGGCTTCAAGGTCCGCCGTCGCCGCGGAAGCGCTCCCGCTTCCGCTGCCGCTTCCGCTGCTTCTGCCGGCGCCGCTGCCGGAGCGGCTGCTGCTGCTGCCGTCATGCCGTAAAGCACGCGGGCGAGCTTCCCTCCACGACGCGCCAAACGCACCGTCTTTCGCCCCGCTAGTACTAGCTCCGCTATAAGCCCCCCTAGTTGTAGGTCCCCGCGCGCCCGAGGGTGTTGCCGTTAGTCCTCTTTCTCCCTCCGAATCGCTCCCGGAGTCAAAGCCCTGCGCGCCGGCAGACGCGCAACCGGAAAGAGTGGAGGGTCGGGGGAGGGGGGACCACCCGGATGTGCTTGTAACGGGGGCTGCGACGTCGCCGGGCGTAGCAACGTCGTCCTCGGGCCATTCGTGGATGCTCTTGGGGGTCTTGGACGACAGCGGCGGCGTCGCAGGGACTGTCGCAGAGCCTTTCGCAGACGACGGTAGTCCTGACGACAGGGCGGACCAGAGCTTATTGAAACCTCCGGCGATCCCTTGCCGCCCCGTGCCCGACTGTGCCGCTTTTCCCGCGCCTGATTGCTGGTGATGAAGTTTCGCTCCTTGCTGCTCCAGCTGCTGCTGCACATGCAAGTGCGAGGGCAGTTGCGACTGCTGCTGCTCCTGCTGCTGCTGCTGCTGTTGATGAATCTGCTGCGACGGGTTGCGATGCTCGCCGTGCGACGGAAGCGACAACGACTTGCTGTGACGACCGCTGGAGCTCTTGCGAAAGATCCGGTCAAAGTCAAGATGCAGGGTTAACTCAGTCTCCATATCACTCTCCACATTCCCCGCCGCGTCGCCTACTAGCCCAACGCCATCACCACCACCGCCACCGCCACCACCACCGGCAGCAGCAGCAGAAGCGGTCCCGCCGGCGGCGCCCGCGGCAAAGGCAGCGACGACGTTGGGGTCGCTGTGTCGGCCGGCGGGGTGGCGGAGATGGGGGGGATGCACGGCGGGGGAAGCACCGGCGCCGCCGGCGGCGGAGGCGGTAGAGGGGCGGCCCTGCGCGTCGATCTCGAGGCGGCGCCGCGCTACGGGATCGAGCGGCGGCTCCTGCTGCTGCCGGGCTGAGGCGGAGGAGGAGGAGGTGGGGGAGAGTCCGGTGAACAACCGAGGCGCGGATGAGAGCACGGGAGCCATGGTTGTGGGGCACAGGGGGCTCTGAGGGACTGCAATTAACGGTTCAGAGGTGAGGTCCTGCGTCCGGCGTCCAGCGAATTAACGGGGCACGGGCAGCTACTACTGGTGAAAGGGAGGCCTACTAGGGTCCGACCCGCGAAAGGATGGAACCGTTGATGAGAATTGAGTCGCTGACATTGGGAAGGACGAGTGGGGACGAGTGGAGCGCGCGTCACGGCGGAATGTTCGGATGAATAGAGGCATATACCGGGGATGGAGCTATGTGCGCAAGCGAGCGTATCCTCGCGTCGCGCGGTGTGTCGGCGAGAGCTGTCGGCAAGAGCCGTCCTAAGCCTAGAAGGGCCTTGCGGCAGCGCGCTTTAATTACGTCAGGCGACCTAAAGAGCATTTTTTGGCTATCACTAGATTTGCGGCCAGGAAGGAGGCGACGTGTTGTAAACTAAAGAGACCGAGGATCCGCCGTAGTGTGAGGCACATTTTGGCGGGGAGGAATTGGTGGGGAGGCTGCGTTTACTCGAGGTCTACGCGTCCAGACACACGGAATTCGGTGAGATGCTGTTCACATTATCAGGACTCAGTAAGCGGCTCCCCTGAACGGCACGAGCAAGATTATCCAAAACCGAGATTGGGGCGACTGACGGAGCCACGGAGCTTGCTTGGAATTAGCTGGGGTTGGAGCTCCTGGTGAGAGCCGCTTCCTTCCTCCCTTCCCTTGAGTTGGGATGGGATGGGAGGGATTGCTTTGCCCTCCATTCGCTGGGGAAGGACGGGCAAAGGACACGCAGAAGTCTTTGGTTTTGGTTTTGGAGATGCTCCCCTGGTCGTGTGGCGGGGTGGATGGCGAACTGGTTTGCGGAATCTGCTACGCTGGGCCAGCCACAGCGGCGGGGACGCACGCCCACACACACACACACTTGCTACGGTGTTGCTTGAAAGAATTCGCGACGGGAGGACGGGACGAGTCACGAGAGAGAGCGAAACGAAACGAAACGAAACTGAGGGCTGGGTGGGCATGGGTGGGGGGAGGCTTGGCGAATCATGCCATCGGCAGCATCGCCTCGCCAGCGTTACTGAAAACGAATCCCATCCATTCCCTCCCGTTCCGTCCCGTTCCGTCTCGTTCCGTCCCGTGCCTGATGGCTCCATGTGTTTTGGCCTTAAAACAGCCCTGGTTCGTTTCCTGCATTCGTCCTGTATTCAGGACTCCTAGGCGACCAAGTTTTAGCTGAGAGATTTTGGCCTGCCCACTGCTGTTGATGGAGGGGAGTGGTGGGAGAGCTTGGCGTCTTGGGCCGACACCGGGTGCCGTTTCTTCCCGAACCAAGCACCCCTGATGTTTTGTCAGCACTGTTACCACATCCTCCAGGTGATGTGAGTGTTCCCACTGTTTTGCGTGGCAGTGGCAGGTGCCTCCTCTACCCCGCGACGATCCCTCTCGAACGCCCACGGCCGAAATGTGATGGGCAGACCACTCCTATCAATGCAATAAGTGCGATCGCTTCACCCATTCCTGGCCTTCAGACATGCGGATTAAACGTTAGTACTGTACTCAGAGACGGCCGACCTGAGCGTGCCTTACGCCGCTGGTCAGAGATTCGGGAAAGGTACTTCTCAAGGGGCAGCCCGAAATTCAAGTTACAGTACTTTTGAATATTAAATCATCAGCAGAGGCCCCGGGAACCGAGCCAAAAACTCCCATGAGGTGAGTGATCCGTTGTGGGGCTGGGAGGGGTGCAGGCCTCTGGAAGTCAAGGTAATTACACTGCTTTGTCGAGGAAAACAAGGTAAACTTTTAACATAACCCTGCTTTTGACGCATTCAGAATCTCGATACCCGTCCATGGACAGGCAAGCCAGAATTATCCCACGGCCAATTTCCGAGTACGGGATAGACCCGTCCTGTAAAATATAATGTAAACGTTCGCGCCCCTAGTAAAAAATTATTCCCCTGTCATTGTCAGGAGTGGCTTATTCCGAGCTTGACGAAACTCCTGCCTACAAAAACAATCAAACTTTTTAGGGGCTACCCAGCCTGGACGAGTTGGATCTCGGGCAAACTCAGAAACTGCAGGGTGACCCCTAGGATATCGAGAGGCCTGGTGGCGTGGCGACGAAGTCAATAGAGTGTCGTCAGCGAGCTTTCCCCATCGTTTCCACCCAGATTCCCACATTGCCCGAGTGTACATCAAAACATTCGGCTGAAAATGTACAAAGGTCATGGTACAGGACACTGCGGCTGTCCTCCTCTGACTCCTTGGATGCAAGCATTTGCAGTGCAGACCGCAATGTGCGCTGTGGCCAGCAAAAACACAAACCTGGAGAACAAATGAATCGGGAGGGGTCTCGTAGAGTATGACCGACGACCGTCATGTCGGCCACTACACGCCAAAAGCGTCATGCAAACTGTGCAACGGGCAGTAACAGACTTTCATGGTGGTCGTCTCGTCTGTCTTGGCGAGTCAGCGCCTACCTGACCTGAGAATCAGGAATGGGAGAGTGTGCTTGTAGCAAGCTTGGTCGCGTCACGAATCAAATTTCTTTACACTGTTAGCACTTCTCTCCATAGTCATGCCATGTTTGGAATGCACAGTGTTTTAGCTTCAAGCCTCTAATTTGATAACTTGCACTAACAATCTAGCAATATGGATGTTCTACCTGGATGGCACCTTATCATAACCACATCCTCTCCTCCTCTAACGTTTTCTCTGAATTCAAACCATTCGTGAACTATCGTTGTTAGTTAATAAGGTCAACCCCTTTTTGCATAGATGGAAAAGTATCACAGCATTCTCTTGCTCACGTTTTCCCCTTACCAACAGGAGCTCCATGGCGGGATTTGACCAGCTTATGTCGAAGCTCTCAACTGCTGATGTCTGTTGAATTCGAGGCGATCGAGGTGAGCAGTGATGACAGCATGGAAGGCGAGGCGAGGCGTGGCAGGGCGGGGGTGGGGCGACGCAATCAGCGCTGCCCCCTCCATCCTCGGTTCGAACCCTCGCCTCGCCTCGCCATGCGACACCAGCGCAACAGCGCAATCGACATTTCCGCTCTGGCGCGCAGTGTTGGGCGCAGCGGAGACATCCTCCCCCCGCCCTTCTCCCCCCTCCCCCCCTAGATGTAACCACGCCTAGAAAGCTCCCGGCGTTCGCACAGGCCTCGATTCGCCGCTTAGCCGCGCGCCACATAGGGAACTCCGTCCAGATCCATTCCATACATGCATAGTCGAGCAAACATTTTACGATAGCGATGGATCGAATCGTTCCTTCCCCCGGCCCATGCCATGCATCGATTCTCTCCCAACTGGGGAGAGCGGGAAGAGGGAAGGAGGAAGGGGGGAGGTAGGCAGGGGAGTGGTGGTGGGGGAGATATGTGACGTTTCGGGGAAGGGCGCACGGCATGCAGCCCGCCCATGCGACGGACAGGGACATACCGTCCCGTCCCCCGGGATTCGACTGACCGCGGACGCGCCTCGAGTTGGCATGGATACTACAACTCACGCCGGTGTGGGCGTGAGACAGCAACCTGAAGCGGCAGCGCGGATGAGAGGCAAGGCTGCGATTGTCGCAAGCCCGTACGCGACGGTCCCCATGATCGTATTCTAGGCATGGTACCTAGCGGTAGCAGCTTCCATCCGCTTGGTTGGGGTCGTCCCACACCAGCGAGCGGACATTTGGCCAGATGGACGGACGGATGTAATTATTCCTCACGACGACTCGCTCGTTACGAAGGGAAGGACATGTATTATGATGTTAGGTGAGGAGAGAGGGTGAGGAGAGACTTCGCAGTAAATGACGCATCATGAATCGAGACTCAGAGAGTCAGGTACCTTCAAATTCCGGCGCAAGTCACACATCGTCGATAGCCCGTCACGAGGTCAGCAGCCAGTCACGGTCTTGGCTCGGTTGTAGTAAGCTCGGACCAAGCCTCTTCTGAGGCCCCTGAACATCTCCTGGTTCGGTCCGAACGTGTCTGCAGTCAGAGCAGCGTGGGGAAGAGTGACTGGAAAATAAGATTGGTGATTCCCCGAGGGAATTAGGAAAGGACCGAGACCATTCGAGAGCGAGAGAGCGCCGACGAGCGAGAGAGCGACAGATCGCAGCGCATACGGTACCCTCGCAGCGTGTCATGTCGTGCTGACGTGAGCCTAACCATCCAATCAAATCCGTCCCCGAATCAGCGGAGCCCGAATGCGTGAGAACCTGCGGCGATTCTGTGCTCCCAGCGATCTCTCCGAGACAGCGCGAGGTTTCGCTCGGGCGGATGGGACGAGAGAGCGAGCAGCCATGAGACAGCACCATGGGACAGCACCATGACAGACCGACGGATTGAGACTAGACAGGCTGCGCGCTAGCCCAGCGAGGTGTACATACACGGATGGTAATTTTCGATGCCTTTAGCATGCTGGGATAAGCTACGCCATGCTATGCCGGGCTCGGCTCCTCGTATCGCATCCCCCCGCTGAAGTGTGTGCCATGCCACTGCTGCTGCTCCTCCTCTTCCTGTCAGCTCCCCTCACTGGCTCTTGGTGAAAGACGCGCCCTTGCGCCCTCTCTCGCTCTTTCACTGCTTGAAGGCACCGCCTTTTGGTCTTCCTCTTCTTGCTGGTGTGCGCCGCACTGCACTGCTAGTACCGACTGCGCTCTGTGTTCCTGCCAAGAATCCATCTTGACAACCAGAATCAGCGCTGTGCCAAGACCCTGCTGGGGTCTTCAGCTCTCCCCGCTCAACTCTCCGCCATAACTCTCTCTCCTCTCAATTCGGATCAAAAAGAGTGCTCCTTGCTGCTGAGTTGCTCCTTGCTGCTCAGCTGCTCCTTGCTGCTCAGCTGTGGGTGATTTTTGAAAAATTCACAAAAATCACCTGAGCTGTGCTGAACCTGTTCGTGCTGAGTGGTGCCGAGTGGTGCTGAGTGGGGCTGAGTGGCCATCCACTCCCCCGTGGCTGAGCGCATGGCGGCATCAGGGGGTGAATCGGGGATCTCAGTCCAATGGGTTGGTGACCCTGTGAGGAGGAATGGGGAATCCATGCCTCCCGCTGCTGCTGGTGACGCCTTGGATGTTGGTGATCATGTGGATGCTGCGGATGGCAGTTGTCATCATGCGGCATGCCATGTCATTTTTGAAGATGGCTTCTCCATGCATCTGGAAGCAGGTAATACGCCGTGCCATGCCTAAGCACTTGCCGCTCAACCAGTTTTTCTAAGCCAGTCTTTTGACAGGAACAACCGCCAATTTGCAGAAAATTGGATGTTTTTTATTATTATTCTTCTTCTTTACTCTTTCCCGTTGTTTTTCTCAACTCTTCTTTAGCTTCGCATTTGTGTGTTTGGATGAGCTGTCGCTGACGCTGAGCCGCTGAGTGTGTGCATGGCAGGGGGCGTCGTGCATCTGATGCCGGAGAATCCCAAGGAGGACCTCTTTGTGGCTCGCATCGAGGGCTTCCTGGAGGAGGGTGGCCAGAAGAGCCTCTGCGTGCGCTGGTGAGCGCCTCTGCTGCTGTTACTGCTGCTGCTCTTCTTTTTTTTCTTCTTCTTTTCCGGGCTTCTTTTAGCTATTTGGTTTAGCCGCTGCCTTTCATACGAACGGGAATGTGAGAATGCTGACGTTGGTCTTTAACTCTGTGCATGCCCCTGTGTGTGTGTATGTGCACGTGTACGTGTGCGTGTACGTGTGCGTGCAGGTACTACCGCCTCCAGGATTTGGCTCACAGGCCTCCCACCCCTCCCGAGCCCAACGAGCTCTATTGTACGGGCCCTGCTCAATGAGCCCCTTCCGTTGCTTTCCAGCCCAGTGATGCTTCGTTTGCAGCCCTTCCCGTCTTGGTCACTCGCCTCTTGGCACTCCACACCATACCGCCACACCATTCAACGTCCGTCCAGCACTGGCAAGCTCTATGTGGTTCCATCCATCCAAGCCTCATCTTTGGCCACTGACGTACGATCCCTGCCGCTGTGCTGTGCTCGCGTGCATGCGTGCGTGCGTGCGTGCGTGCGTGCGTGCAGACACCACGCACTACGACGTGCAGAACTTCGACGCACTGTCCAGGGAGCCCTGTGAGGTCACCCATGCTGGCAGCCTCGGCAGCAACGGCAGCAGTGACAGCAATGACAGACTGCATCCCCCAGGGTATGGCTCACTCCCCCTTCTCTGCCTCTGGATTATTTTGTTCGCTCCGTTGCACTATTAGCTCGGATTAAGTGGTGGCTGATTGCTGATTGGTGTTGTTGGAATCCTGTGTTCTGGTGGTATGGTGGATTGCAGGGATGAGAGGAGAGGGCGTTCCTATGTGTGCAAGTACAGATACGTATCGGAGAAGGGGGCGTTTTTGCCTATCAAAGGAGGTACGCTTGTTCGTTCCCTCCCTCCTGGAATCGTTTTATAGTATTGGGAGAAGGCTGAATACACTCTGCCCCTCGCCATAGACTGCTTCTTTTGCTGGTCGCTTCTCCTCATTTTTATATTTTCTCGTCCCTTCATGTGAATCAATTATTTTGTTTCCCATTGCGTTTCCCTGCCCCCTTTTCGTTGTGTCTTTCGTTGTGTCTTTCGTTGTGTCTTTGGTTGTGTCTTTCTTAATGTCTTCCGTTGTGTCCTTCTGCACTCCATGGTCCCAGCTGATGCTGCTGGCGCCACAAGGCAGCAGTCACATGAGCAGAAGGCTCTACCTCTGCCAAACGACCTTGTAGCACCAGGTGAGGTGACCTGGTCTGGTTACCAGGTGACCTGAGCGTGAGCTTTCCTGGGGGGCCAAACAGCGTCCTTTGTAACCGAGGGTCTTCGTCATACATGTGCTTGCACTTTCCTTCTTTTTTAATTTCCATGCCTGCTTACATGCCCTGCCTCCTCCTCTGCCTCTGCTTCCGCGTCTGTCCCTGCCTCTCTGCCTATGCTGCTGGTTGGTGTGTTACCTGTGCAGCAGCGGAGACCACCTGCAGCAACAGCAGCAGCATTCAGGTGAAAGCAGGGGTGGCGTATGAGATCCGGGCGTCAGAGCTGCCCTCACACGCTCCACGCGACCTTTGCCTTGTGCGCACTGTTGTTGTGAGTCGCCCTGCTGCTGCTGCTGCTGCTGCTGCGGCAGCTGCTTTTTCTTTTGCCTCCACACAACTGCAGTGAAGAAGGCCTCTGCTTTTGCTTGCCTCCATATTTGGACTCGTTTTCTTCCAGTGTATTCGGATTCACTACAGCTGTGCGTTCGTGACGCCCCTCTACAAGGTCTTTCTCTAAAACTGCTGTACGCACAGCTGTTTGCGCATCAATAACACCTGTGCCTGCCTACCTGCCTGCCTGTCGCACTGACGGTTTTCGCCTCTTGCGTCCTTTGCTCACCCTGAACGCTTTTTGTCGTGTGCGTGCGTGTCTATCTCTGCTACAGATGTCAAAGAAGGACGGCAGCAGCATCACAATCAAGTACCCATCACCATCGTCCATCCGCAAAGCCTTTGGCGCCGCCCACACCACCAGAGAAGCAGCAGCAGCGGCGGCGGCGGCAGAGCACCACGCGCTGCAACAAAACCAACATAGCCACCAGCACCAGCAGCACAAGAACGAGAACCAGCAGCAGCAGCAGCAGCAGCGGAAGCACAAGTTTCTGCACAGGACCACCACAAATGAAGCCGCCTCCCCAGCCGGACCCTTTGGTCTGGGGCTGCACCTGGGCTGCCGACCCGACCTCAATGCCTCCTTCACGCTCCCCGTCTCCTCCTCCTCCACCCTCCCCCCCAACCCCTCCCCCCTGTCTGCCGAGGAGGGGGTGAATTTGACCCGGCTCTTCAAGCGCTCTGTGCCGCGCAGTGAGTACCTGCACCAGGCGCACCTGCTGTCCTTCTGGCTGCTGCATCCGGAGGGGTTTGAGTGGGGAGGGGATGGGGGGGATGGGGGGGATGGGGGGGATGGAGGGGATGGAGGGGATGGGGGAAACGGGGGGGTGAAAGGGGAGGGTGTGCATGAGAACGGCTCTGCTGGGGTTAGTGCTACTGGGGGAATGGGTGCGCATAAAGAGGAGGAAGTGGAGGGGGATGAAGGCTTGGGAGGAAGTGAGATGGCAGTGGGAATGGATGGTGTGGAACACGGGTATACCCCTGTTCCTGCTCCTCCTGCTGCTGTTGCTCCTGCTGCTGCTCCTGCTGCGGCTGCTGCTGCTGCTGCTGCTGCTGCTGCTGCTGGTTCTTCTGCTCCTCCGGCTGCTGCTGCTGCTGCAGGGGAGGTATTTGCGAGTGTGGACGAGGCTGCAGAGGCACTCACTCAGCTAAAGCCATGCAGGGCAGTCGCCCATGCTCTTGCGCTTGCTCATGCTGCTCATGCTGCTGCTGATGGTGCTGCTGATGGTGTTGATGGTGATGATGGTGCTGATACCGATGCTAATGCTAACATATCTGCTGATGCTAGTGCCGGCGCTGATGCGGCCGGTGATGGTGATAGGGATGTTTCTGAAACGGGAAGGAGGCATGGGAATGGAAACGGCACTGAAGAAACGGAACAGGAAGAACTAGACGCAGAAGCAGAAGCAGAAGCAGAAGCAGAAGCAGAAGAAGAGGCGGACGCGGAAGTGGAAGTGGAAGCAGAGGCGGAAGCAGAGGCGGAAGCAGAGTCGGTGGACATAAGGGCGTGGCCCAAGAGGAGGAGGGGCGGGGGGGGCAGCAGGAGCAAGAAGGCGCGGGTGGTGGTGGTGGCGGCAGTGGACAAAACCAGGTCGCTCAACAACGCGTCCAGCCTGCCCTCCTCTACCAGCAGCGGTGAGGGTAAGAGCAAGCCACACTCCTCCATCGATGGGGAATGCCATGCTGCTCCATTGGTCTCTCTCTCAGGGACCGTGTGCCCTTCTCTGTGCTTAGGTAGCTACCGGATTTGGCCCTCCTCTGCTCCATTGGCCCTCCTCTGTTCCATTGGCCCTCCTCTGCCAGTAGCTCCATCGGTCGCTCTCTCAGTGCGCAGGTGCCCTCCTCTGTGATTAGTTAGCTATCGGATTGGCCCTCCTCTGCCAGTAGCGGTGTGGGCTGACTCTAGACCCGTTGCTCTTGTTCCTCCAATCCCATCCCATCCCTTCCCATCCCATCCCATCCCATCCCATCCCATCCCATCCCATCCCATTCCATCCCATCCCATCCCATCCCATCCCATCCAATCCCATCCCATCCCATCCCATCCCATCCCATCCCATCCCATCCCATCCCATCCCATCCCATCCCATTCCATCCCATCCCATCCCATCCCATCCCATCCAATCCCATCCCATCCCATCCCATCCCATCCCATCCCATCCCATCCCATCCCATCCCATCCCATCCCATTCCATCCCATCCCATCCCATCCCATCCCATCCATCCCATCCCATCCCATCCCATCCCATCCCATCCCATCCCATCCAATCCCTTCCCTTCCCATCCCATCCCATCCCATACCACTCCATGGTGTGCAAACGTTGAGTGAAATGAACCGTGGGACACTGTAACGAGATGACTTTTGAGTCGACTCAGAAGTCGTCTTGTTCCTTGGTTTGTCCCGTCCCACCTCACTCCATGGCGCGCAGACATTAAGAACGTGGATGCTGCTGTGGCAGTCACTATTTGAGTTGAGACACCTCAAAAACTTGACCCGTTGTTGCTCTTGTTCCTTGGTTCGTCCCATCCCATCCCATCCCATCCCATCCCATTCCACCTCACTCCATGGCGTGCAGACGTTGAGGACGAGGATGCTGTGGCAGTGAGCCGGGCGAAGGAGAACGGGAAGGGCAAGGAGAAGCAGGAGGCGAAGGGGAAAGGGACGGGGAAGGGGAGTGCAAAGAAGGATGCGCATCTGCTGAAGCTGCCCAAGGACATGCAGGGCCGCTGGTCCAAGGAACGGTACGATTCTCTTTCCCTCTCGCAGTCCCTCCCTCTCGCACTCCCTCCCTCTCGCACTCCCTCCCCCTCGCTCACTCACCCACTCGTTCACTCAGTCACTCACTCACACAGTGACCTCCAAATGTTGCGACGGGGAAGGAGAGTGCGGAGAAGGATGCGCATCTGCTGAAGCTGCTCAAGGACATGCAGGGCCGCTGGTCCAAGGAACGGTACAACGCCTTGCATCTTATTCGGTGCTCCCTCTCTCTCAAGCGATCCTTTGTATACTCACGCTTGCTCCCTCTCTGCGACTTGCAACTGTTCCACGTGCTTTATTAGGAGCTTCATTCTCTTCCTACGTCACAGTGGCCCCACCAACCAACCGACCCCGACGTATGACCCCGATTGATCTCTCACCCTGCTCCGAGAGCTGGTACCGGACAGCACAGGTGAAGCCAGTGGATATTATGCGAGCACAGGGCGCGAGGCCCGGGAAGCCGATGCTGCGGGCGGTGCTGCAGGAGAAGGCGCAGAGATTCATCGCAACACATGGCGCTGCTGGACCACCTGGGGGAGCAGAGGGGGTCGCCCTACTGCCTACAGAGGGCCGTCAGCCTATGGCTCCCCCTTTTGCAACAGCCTGTGACGCCCCCTTTTTCAACAACCACCTCCAGAATCCACACCCTGGCGTTCCCCCTCTCCCAATCCCCCCGCCCCCCTCCTTGCCTTGCCTTCTCCCGAAGCGGGTACCGCACCGCCCAGGTCAAGCTAGAATTTTTAGGCGCCTCAAAAGTACTCTCTTTGCCTCGCTCTGTTCCGAAGCAGGTACCGCACCGCCCAGGTGAAGCTAGTGGACATTATGAGGGCTCAGGGAGCCAGGCCCGGCAAGCCGATGCTGCGGCCAGTGCTGCGGGAGGAGGCGCGGCGATTCATCGGCGACACGGGGCTGCTGGACCACCTGCTGAAGCACATGACGGACACCATCGTGCAGACCGGGCAGCGGTTCAGACGCAGGCATAACAGTGAAGGCGCCATGGAGTACTGGCTGGAGGACGCCGGGCTCATGGCCATCCGAGAGGTGCGTGGGTGGTGCAGGGGAGGGGGGGCTCTGGGTTATGGAGTACACTAGCAGGGGGGAGTGGTCTTGAAGCAAACGGATGTTAGAGGCACAACAGTGAGGGCGCCATGGAGTGCTGGCTGGAGGACGAGGGCTCATGTTCATCCGAGAGGTTTGTTCGTGCGTGGTGTGGGGGAGGGTGGGTTATGGACTATGGAGTGCACTAGCAGGGGGGAGTGGTCCTGAGGCAAACGGATGGTAGCGGCACAACAGCGAGGGCGCTATGAAGTGCTGGCTGGAGGACGCCGCGCTCTTGGCCATCAGAGAGGTTCGTTCGCGCGTGGTGAGGGGGAGGGGGGTGGAGTGTGGTGGGCGGGGTGGCAGAGGGTGGCGCTGGGTGGAGGCTATTCCTCCTTTTCCTCTTCGTTGCCATCAGAGAGGTGAGGAGAAGCGGGAGGTTGGAGGGAGGGTGGTGGACAGGGCGGAGGGTGGCAGGCACTGGGGGTGGAAGCAAATCCTTTGAGGCGCCTAAAAAATCCATGCGTGAGGATTCTATTTTTGAGGCGCCTCAAAAATGCATGAGTGAGGAGTCTATTTTTGAGGCGCCTCAAAAATAGACTCCTCACGCGTGGCAGGCACTGGGAGTGGAAGCAAATCCTTTGTTTGCCCTTCCTTCCTGTCCTTCTCCTCGTTTGCCTTCTGTATAAGTAAGTAGCCTCGTGCCCCTTCCGTCACACCGTGTTTGTTGATCCCACTCCACAGGCAGCGGGCATCAGCGACCCCACGTGGGTGCCCCCACCGGGGTGGAGGCCAGGGGCAGACCCGCATGTGCCATGCGGTACCAGGCGGTGCCACAAGGTGGAGAGGGACGTGGAGAGGATGGGGGGCTCTGTGTGTGCCATGCGCAGGTGAGGTCAAGGGGCCCCCTCTCATTCTTTCAGGGTCTTTCATGCTTGCTTGATTGCCTGCTTGCTGGCTAGCTTTCTTGCTTGCTTGCTCGCTTGCTTTCTCGCTTGCTTGCTCACTTGCTTGTTTGCTCTCTTGTTTGCTCGCTCGTTTGTCCGCTTGTTGGCTTGCCTGCTAGCCCGCTCGCCCGCATGCTTGCTTGCTCAACTGAATGCTTGCTTGCGTACATGTGAAATCCTTTCCATCTCCTTATTTTCCCCCTCTGTCTCTCGCGACCTCCAGAGAGCTCGACGAGCTGAGGCGGCAGGTGGGCAAGCTTTCCTCCAGAGGCACTCAACCGCAGCAGCAGCAGCAGCAGCAGCAGTTGGCCCCGTGTGTGGCCCCGTCTGTGATTCTGGGAGGCACCAAGGCTGGCGTGGCAGGCAAGGGGACATGGGGCAATGGGTCTGCTGCCACTGACCTCGAAGCCACGCTCCTGCTCCTCAGCTCTAACTTGGTGCGATGCCTTCTCGTGTGTCAACCGCTGCCGCTGCCGCTTCTGCTGCTGCTGCTTGTGCGCCTCCTTTCCCTTGGCACCAACTGTTCTCTCTGTCTCTCTCACCTGTGACTTGTGCTGCTGAACCAAACGGTTCTGTTCTTGCCTCTCCATTGCTCCGTTCATCTGTTCGCCTGCGATGCAGGCCGCTAGTGGGAGAACATGGGAGGTTGACACATCGTCCCTGCATAGCCTGCTCACTAAAGTAAGCTGAGCTCTCTGCATTCCACCCATGCCATCCCGCCAGTGCCATTCTGCTGCTGCTGCCACAGCTGGTGCTGCTACAGCTATTGCTGCGCCTACTGCTTCTGCTGCTTCTAGTGCTTCTGCTGCTGCTTCTGCGGCTTCTAGTGCTGCTGCTGCTTCTGGTGCTGCTGCTGTCACTGCCCTGACGTGCTGTGTGAGAGCGTGCTGTGCAGGTATGGGAGGAGCTGCAGCAGCACAACAAGCTCAACCAACAGATATTGCTCGCCCTCAACACCAGCAACAGAGAGTAAGTGCTTCTTCTGCTGCTGCTGCGGCTGCTGCTCGTTTTTATCAGAAACGCACCGACCATCACCAAACCCTTCATCCATTCAGTCAAAACACCAGAGGAACTTGAGAGCACAACCGTCTCCCCAGCATGTCTTTTACTGTCTGCCCCATGCCTTCCTTCCTGTCTGCTCTCCCATCTGCCACCTGCCTGACTCTCTGTGTACCGTCCTGTCACCCATGCCCCCCCCATCTGCTCAATCCCAGAGTACTCGACTCCATTGCCGGCCAGCCCTCCAAGTCCCTGCCAGCCATCCTCACTGCCGCTGCTGGAACCCTGCTCTCCCTCCCCCAATCTGACCTCCATTCACCAAAGCTGTCGCAGGAGCAGCAGCAGCAGCACGTTTCCCTAATCACCAGGACCAGCAATACCCTGCCTGCTCTGATCATCCCTCCCGCGCCTGCATCTGCACTGCCGATTCAGGTACAGCTTCGTGCACCGAGTCAAAGACAGACTGCAAGCTCAAGTCTGCGCACGATCAAGCAGACGCCATTTACACTTAAATTTGCACTCTCTTTTCTCACAGTTCTCACCATTTCCCTCGCATTTTCTCCCCTTCTCTCCTCGGCGTTGGTATGTGGTCACAGGAGAAGCACACAGGGGCATCAAGGCAGGTGAATGGTAGTGAGCAGCAGCAGCAGCAGACTGACCATGATCGGCCATCTTTTTCCACTACCACGGATGTGAAGCCCCTGCTCAAGAGCAGCACCCAGCAGACAGCAGCACCTATGCATGCGGTGGCACATGGCAAGACAGTAGGGCTGCTCAAGCTCCCATCGTGTGTCACACAGAACCTTCCTGCTTCTCGCTTCCTGCCCCAGTGATCCTGGAGCGCTGTTGCTTGTTGTTCTCCCTTCTCCCGCAACGCAGGATAGAGTAGAGTGTGTGTTTGTGTGTGCATGGTATTGTGAGTGCAAGGTCTTTGGAGCACTTGCTAAAATGGTGACAGACATTTCCTAGAATGTATTGTGTGAAAGCGCAGCTGCTTATACGGTAATGCAGCAAAGGCAACAGCAAAGCGCTCTACGCCCTTTGCCGAGTACAAAACAAGCAGCTTTAGCATCATTGTTGTGTGTATTGTTGGTTGGACGAGGGTGTTGCCACCCATCCATCCACCCATCCACCAGCACCCATTGAGTCCAACCAAATTGTCATTGCAAGAAATAAGAAAGCAAGCTTTCCCAATGCTAGATGATACTGTTTTGCATCAAATGAGACATTTCTGATATTAACACACCAAAAGGCGAGCAGAGGACACGCCTTTAGGCTTCAACCATTTGCCCTGCTGCACCAAGCATGACGACATGCACGAGCACCAGTGACTTTCACTCAAAGCCACTCCAAGCCGCACTCAACACCTCCAGTGTGGCCTTTACTCTACACTACGCGCCCAATGCTCCGCTCCTGCTGGTTCCCTATCTTCCTGGCACTTCCGCGAAGTCATCAGGATAGCGATATCGCAAGTAGGCGTTTGGTACATACCGACCCGCTCTGCAGACACAAACCACAAGACAGATACAGCAAGCAATCTCCTAGAGAAACTGAGTAATATGCGCAGATAAGATAGTAAACCGAACCATGCGGAGGACCCACAAGAACCAACACAATCAGCAGACAGGGCGCAAAACACAATCCTTACGGGTAAATATCGCAAGGATTGAGTTGCGGACTACATGAAAACCACAGAAATAAGCACGCCGGGAGCAGGAAGACGGAAGCCAAAGAAGATAACCTGTCTTTCGCAAGGTTTACTGGACATGCCTTGATTACCTGAGGCCAAGGAAGTAGGCGCCGAGCTCCTCATTGTGCACCGGCCCAACCTCTGGCGACGGAACGAGGTTCTCCTGAGGAACTGCAGGAACCGAACACAATCAGAGCGGGAGAGAGAGAGATAGAGAGAGAGAGACTGGAGGCCGAGGGGGAAATCATAGAAACAATGGAGCTCTAATCTGCACGCACACAGCCTCGCTTTCACGGGTGACGCGTGTCTGAGCCGTGGAATTGATAAGGCCAAATAGCGGGAGGCACACGGACGAACCATAGGTGGTGTGGTGAGGGTGGTCCCTGACGTCCACGAGCAGGCGGTAGAAGGGCTGCACGCGCCCGAGCCGCAGCTTATCCACCTGTCACCCACCCAGCACACACACACACAGACGAGGAAGGAGAACACACACCATCCGACAGGAACATAGGTCTTTTTGCATCGTCTTCTTGAAGAAACAGCAGCTGGAATCGGAAACCGCACGAGCAAGGCCGACGGGGACAGGAGGAGCATGCTGAGCAGGAGCGCAGCACATGAGTCATCTCAAGGCCCCATGCATCTGCCTCCGCACCTGCATCTGAGCTATCCATGTCTCATCCGCCGTGCAGCGCGGGTCCCACCCAAACACAATCCCGCGGTACCCAAACCGCCGGTGCCGCACTATGGTGCCCACTCGGAACGCCAGGTCCGCTGGCCGGGGCGTGAACCTCTCATTGCACCACAGCTGGGGGAGGGGGGAGGGAGGTGGGAGTGGGGAGGGGGGAGGGAAGAAGAGGAGATGGGAAACAGGTCTCACAAGAGAGGAAACGATATAGCTACAGGAGGATAAAGACAAGCCCAGGGCAAACAAGAGCGGAACATGAGGGTGAGCGTGGTGGGCGTGTGTGAGCACTTGCCTCGTGCTGCCGGCGCAACTGCTGCCCATAGCCCATGGACTGCAGCAGCAGCAGCAGCTTTGGGAAGTGTCAAGCCTAGACTACTACTACACCACTTGCCTCGTGCTGCCGCCGCATCTGCTGGGCGTTCTCCATGAACTGCTGCAGCAGCGCGCGCGGCACGGCGCCCGGCACGCCGCCCTGCTGCCCTGACGCCTGCAGCAGAACGTGCAGCTCTGCGGTAACCGCGTCAAAGTCAGGCACGGTGAGCAGCAGCTTCGCCTTGTGGAAGCGCTCGCCCACGTCGCTGGGGTTCACCGCGAGAAGAAGGTCCAGCAGGGGGAGCAAACGGCGCTGCGCCTCTCTTGACGGCTGGGTCCTGCCAACCCCATCCGCCTCCCTCTGATTACAAGAGGCCGGGGAAGTGGGGGAGGGAAGGGGGGGAGGGACAGGGGACGGAAGGGATGGATGATGACGCAGGGTGGGTGAGGTGGAGAGGTTTGGATCAGCAGACGAGTGGGTAAGGAGTTGTGCAGGCGAGGTGATACAGTGACGGGCCCATAATTCGTGGGAAGAGGAGACGGAGAGAGTGCGGAGGGTGGCATTGAGCGACTTAAACCGAGCAGGGGGAGCGGGGAGGGCTGGGAAAGCCAAGGGACTGCGGAATCTTGGTGATGCAAGAGCCTCTGGCTGACGTTGGAGATTACAAGCGAGGTTTTGTCCTTCCTGGCGAGGAGATAGTTTGCGCAGAGAGCTGGGAGGGATCAGGGAGAGTGGGGGGAGCTGGGAGAGTGCCAGAGAGCGGCGCATACCTGTGCGTAGATGGCGAGGAGGTTGTTGCACATGCGCACGAGCACCGCCTGCGCACCCACAGGCGCCAGCAGACGCGGGCTGTACTCCAACCCCATAGACCTGCACGCACCAGGGTAGAGGGCAGGGGCACCGAGCAGAATCAGTGCGGGGAACAGAATGCGAGGGCGGGGAGGAGAGACAGCGAAGGGAGAGAGAGAAAAACGAGGCGATACAAATAGGCACGGAGCTACAACAAGGGGGAAGGAAGAACCAGGAGAGAGGTGCAGCACACAGGCTGCTGGAAACTGGAAACGCTCGTCAGAGAGAGTAGAGAAGGTATGAGAGAAGCAAGCAAGCAAAAAACCGGCAGAGAGGTCACCTGATAAGCTGCACGCACTCCTCGCGGTGCAGCAGGCGGCGGTTAAAGCAGTCCATGAAGCGCTCCTGCGCGCCCCCGTCCTCGCCCACCTTGGTGAGAAAGTGCAGCGGAATGCCCACCATGCGCATCGGGATGCCGCACGCGCGCCCCACGGCGGAGTGGATCACGGCCAGGCTGATGGGGATGCCTCGCCGCGAGTCCAGCACGTCGTTCACGTAGGAGTTGCGCGGGTTGTAGTAGTCGTCCCTGTTACCGTCCAGATGCAAGCACTCCGGATCCTCCTGCTCGCGCGCCCTGCCTGCCTCCTCCTCCTCCCCTTCCTCCTCCTCCTCCTCCTCCTCCTCCTCCTCCTCCTCCTCCTCCTCCTCCTCCTCCTCCTCCTCCTCCTCCTCCTCCTCCTCCTCCTCCTCCTCCTCCTCCTCCTCCTCCTCCACCTCCTCCTCCCCCTCCGCTCCTGCCTCCTCCTCCGCCTCCGCTCCTGCCTCCTCTTCATCACCAGCAGCAGCAGCAGTGGTACCGGCCAGAACAGCTCCAAGAGTGCTAGCAGCTGCAGCAGCTGTATCAGCTCCTGTAGTAGCAGCGGCAACTTCTTGGGCAGTCCCTGGAGCCCCTGCTTCTGCCCGTCTGGCAGCCGCCTCTCTGCTCCTATCATCCACCTCTCGCCTCCCCTCCGCACCTCCTGCTGTTCCTTCCTCTGCATGTGCCCGCGCCTGCGCCTGCGGCCGAGTCGCTTGCTGTTGCAACTGCTGCTGTACAGGGTGCTGCTGCTGGAGCTGGTCTTGCTGTTGCAGCTGCGGCTGCTGCTGCTGGTGTAGGGGTTGGCGCTGCTGCTGTTGCTGGGGTTGGTGTGGTGGTCGGGGTTGTGCGGCGGTGCCTGGCGGGCCAAAGAGGAGCCCGTTCAGCAGCTGCAGAGCAGCCACTGCGCCACGAGGGGTGGACGGACCACCATATGCAGACACTCTGTGTGAGTGGTGGTGGTGGTTTGAGGAGACGGGGGAGGAGGGAGGGGGGGGTGGGGGGAGAGCGGGGGGGATAAGGAACACATCATTACTGATCGGACGAACGACTTTCACGGGAAATTTGGAGTGAGCAGAAGACGCCTGAAAGAAAGAAAGAAAATAAACGCAAAAGGACGAAAGCAATACAACACTGGGCCTGACGAACCTTCCGGCAAGTAGGCAGGCAAAAGGAACGAGAGACACTGACTGTGGGCTGTTGGCGATGCGTGTGCGGAGAACAGCAGCAGTGTCTGCCAGGCGATGTAAGACTGCGTCCGTGTCCAGATCCCGGTACCTGCACAGCGGTAAGGAGGAGGGAGGGCGAGAGGACAGAGGAAACGCAAGGACGAAGAAAGAAACAGAGCAACTCTGAGAAGAGCTCGTGATGAGCCGAGGAGGAAGGAAGACGAGGAGGAAGGAAGGCGAGGAGGAGGGAAGACGGGGAGGAAGGAAGACGGGGAGGAAGGACGACGGGGAGGAGGAAGACGGGGAGGAAGGAAGACAGGGAGGGCGCCGGGAACGGGACGCGAGGAAAAGGCCAAAACTGAAGGGCAAGCTGGGAGAAAAGAGGTGTATGGCAATGCGGCAAGAGAGAGGTAGCAGTGAACGGAGTGGTGAAATGACAAGGGCAATGACAAGGGCAGCGACTTCGCCTGTACCTCAGCTTTGCAACTATTAGCGCCCCGCGAGCGATCTCGTCCTCCAACTGAAGGTTAAAAGAAAAATGAGAGAAGAAAAAGTAGAAGGGGTCTGCATCATAAGCATCATGCATTTAAGGCAGCGGGAGCCACTCAGAGAATATGTGCTTAATACGAGCTACTATAGCGATAGGAATCAACACACAACCACTGCACCAGCACTACCAGCACCACCAACAGCAGCAGCAGCAGAAAGGCTCAGACGACTGCACAGGGGCGCTGCCGCTCACCGTGTCAGGCGGCAGGCGGAGGAAGCGCTTCATGTCCAGCACGCATGTGCGCGTATGCAGGTGATGCAACGCCTCTCGTGCGAAGAACCGAGTCCCGGCCGACAGGGCGTCGCCCGTCTCTGCCAGCCGCTCCAGCTCCTGCAGCAGGCAGGGACGCACAGTCAGTCACGTGGCAGCACTGGAATCGGGAAGGAGGGGTTGAATAAACGTTGGCAGCTTACAATTAAGTGGCAATCAAGTAACAACCAATGCTCCACAATATAAAACTCTCGCTGCCTTCCCACCAGCAAATCCAAAGCTGCTCGCACGCCCTGCCTGTCCCATCATCCTACCCTTCCCGCCCACCAACCCTGCTCATCTTCATTTCCACCATAGCGACTCTGTCCGCCTCAACGGCTCAGCTCTTCATTTCGTCTCAGCTCATCGCCTTCCACTTGTCACCACCCACACCGTACCGCACAGCACCGTACCGTACCTCGACGACGAGGTTTCCCAGCTGCAGCACTGTCCGGATGGCCTGCGGGCGGCGCAAGGGCCACGCCATGTCCGCCAGCACGCCCCGGACCTCCTCCTCCAGCACCACTCTGAACCGGAACACCGCCCGCCACCCCCAGTGCCGCGCTCTCCGCGAAAACTCCTGCCACCCGGACCGCCCGTCGCTCGCCTCGTCGTCGCCCCCCTCGCGAACCCACGCCTCGTACACCTCTCTCACATCGCCCCTCACGTCGCCCCTCACATCGCCTCTCACGTCGAATCCCACGTCGCCTGCGCTACCCAAGACCGTCGCACTCTCCACCGCCGACGCACCGGCACCTCTCCCCAACCTGTCGTCCCGGATTAGTCTGCCTGTGATCCCTTGCCATGCTGCCTCTTCCCTAACCGAAGCACCTGCGGACGGACCAGCCGCGTCAGCGGATGCAGTCGCGGTCGCGGTCGCGGTCGCAGCCGCAGTGGCAGTGGCAGTGGCAGTCGCCCCTGCTGCCTCCCTGCGGGCCGACGCACCAGTCTGCCAGAGATGTGAGCTGTCACGCGGCGGGCTTTCCCCGCTCTCCTCCTCAGCAGAGCCCGAAGGGACATCTCGTCTCGCTGTAGTCGCTCTGCCTTCTACTCCGCTCCAAGGGTCCTGCCTACCAGGCTGCCTGCTAGCTAATTCCGACGCGCCTCCAGCAGCCGACGAGGGGACGGAGGAGATCGCATGGCGAAACCTGTCTAGCCTAGCTTCCTGACTATCTGCTCGACCGCTTCCGACTCCGGCTCCGGCTCTGGCTCCGGCTGACCGGGATTGCTCTGCGGGGAGCGCGGACGTGATGGCTGGGTACTTGTCCCACACGCTCCAGCGTTGGACGCAGATGCTCTCCCAGATGGGGTCCGAACATGACACTCGGTGCCACAGCGTGCTCACTCCACCCACCCTGAGCAACTCGCGGGGTCCAAGAAAGGCGAACACCTGCAGCAGGGTGGGGATCCGGAGGAAGGATGCGGGCGTGCCAGGAATGCTCGCGTAAGTCCGTGTTGCATGGGCAAACGAGTAAGTGCAAAGTTGATGAGTTGCGGCACAAAGATTAGACCTTGATCATGAATTAAACATATAAACGCACACGGGACGTCCAAGAGAGGGGAGGGGGTGAGAACTAGCGATACTCAGCTCTACAGTGCAGCGAACAGCAAAATGTTAATGTTCGAACTCCCGGTTCTGCAACTCTAGCTGCGGGTAGCGGGAGCAGCATGAGCAGCGCACTAGGCGACAGATGGGAGCTTCGAGAGCGCTATATGAACAGGTGTACTTACAGCGGCTAGGGAGGATAAAACAGCTAGTTAAACTAGAGCGGTTGGGGAAGCTACACAGGTGAGGAAGCCAAAGCACCTGCTGCAGGAGCTCGTCAGGCAGCTGGAGACTGTCGTGAAGCTTGACCGCTGCCATGCTCTCAATAGCAGCAGCAAGCCGGCCTGCCTCTGGCGACATCTCAACACTCAACGCCTGTCTGGCGCCTGCAGCACACTGAGCATCGCCAGGTAACTGTAGTGAAAGGGATTTATATAGAAGTGGGATGAGGCGCGGGAGTCCTCTATACCCACCACCACCTGCTGCTTTGCTGCTAGTCTAAACTCCACTGCACGTTGCTTCTCAGGCAAGTAATGGAGAATTGGAATCTAAAGTGTTTGGTTGCTAGAAGCTTGGCCCCTGATGCTACCCACAGTACGAAAGCGGAACCGTCCACTCCAGTACGAGGAATGGGGACAACTACGGGAAAACTACCACTGAAACAGAGCGCTACTACACCACGCACTATCCATCCTAATGCATTTGCACTAACCCATGACCTCCAGGACTTGGGCCATGCGTAAAAGAGCGGAGGATGATGGCACCTGTCAGCAGCTTCTGCAGAACCGCAAGCTCGTGAAGGAAGTGTAGTGTGCTGATCCTCCAACGGCATCCAGAATGTCCAGGGGAATTCATGGAGATAGGAATGGGATTTCATGCTAACGACAGCGAGATTCGCTGACCCTAGTCTGCGCATGCTGTAGTGCGATGGACGGACGAAAAGTGCTCACTAGGTTGGGAAAGAGCGGGCATGTGGCCTAGCGCGCAATGCTGGTGGAAGCTGTGGCATCATGTCACGTGGCCCTGGGCCTCTCTGTTCGACTTCGCTTGGAGCAGGACCTCTGCTTCAGTCAGGTACAGAGCTCTGGCTAGCAGGGTAATTGCACTCAAAGTCGCGAAATTAAGAGTTCTGTCCGATCTGATTCCGTTTTTTTTTTTTTTTTTGCATAGTACTGTAAAAGTTGTTTGATTCCGTCTGCCTAACGGATTACTTTTCGTGTGATTCCTTGACATTGCGGGTTACTTTTCTTTGATTCCGTACGAAGTGCAATTGCAGTGGGAGATCTGTTTGTAGTGGTGTATCACCCCTTTCCGCCCTCCCCACTACTCCCAACTTCCTCCACTATGCAAAGCGCAAGGTTAGTTGCCGGGAGTTTTTCTACTCTTCCAACTGCCTCAGGCGTAGTATCAACGAGAAACAGTCCCTGGGGTTTTGATGGTTTTCCTTAGCAGTGTCCAAGGCCATGCCTCCAAGGATGTTAGAATCAAACCAAGTGTAACCTTTCGACGAATCCGTATGCTAACGGGTAACTTTCGGCGATTCCGTCCGCTAACGGGTATTTTCGGGGCCGATTTCGTGACCTAACGGAATACCCTAGGCTAAGCGAGAGCCCTGGTTAGGTGCAACATAGGGAACTCCAGCATGCTGTTTGCGTGCCTCTGTACTGGGTGAAAGAGGAGTAAGTCGCGGTCGAGATAGTCGTATCCAGGTTTGAGAACGGTGAGAAGGGACGGTGGTGTCTGAAAATGGCGGTGTTGATGATGAGGCTACCTAGATTTCCGCTGCTGCCAGCATCTGCAGATAGCATTTCCCAGCGCATGTAGGGGCTCGCCCGATCCCCACCTGATCCCGATGGTACCGCATTGTCGCTCTCCATTGGTCCACGAGATATTGGAGCCCATCATTGTGTCCCCCATGCCAAGTTCCCCATGTGCTCGACTGGCGGCGACTCACCCGCGGACGCAGCGGACCCGCTCCCCGCGCTACGCCTCTTCATGTCTCTCGGGAATCGGGCCGCGGCGGCTTCCTACGTGGCACACGGCCCGAACTTTACATGTGGAAAGTCAGCTGCTGGTTTCAAGCTGCGAAGTATGTGATTGAAACGAAAAGATCACCAAGCGGCGTCGGATTGGCCGAACGCACAATCCCGAATATATCAAAAAATCTAACGATGACCTATCCAGCTGGTCATCACTTTTCCAGGCATTCATCACCATTCCTGGATCATGTGAGTGGCAGCTGAAGGCGCATGTAGCCACCTGAATCACAGATGAACATACAGAACACAAATTTCTCATATACCACTCAAATAAAGCTTCTTCACTTCCTATCAAACCCGTCCAATTTGAGGGTACCGGTAGTTACGTTGTTATGTGTTAAATTATACATTTCAGATATATATTATGGTAGGCTTGGTAGGTGTCACTGGATCCTACTGTAGAGGGTACAACTCCCTCCTTGTATCCCTCTCTTCTAATCTCGAACTCTTCTCTCTCGTAACTTTCCCCTAGCACCTAAACCTCTCGCCATTCATGGCGTCTTCTCTTCCTACCTAGCTATTATAGTATTCTAACATGGTATCAGAGCAGGTTGCTCTTTCTAGGCCTGCTTATCACGCTTTCGCCGCGCACTCCTATCTCTCTCTCGCTGCCATGACGGCCGCGTCGTACTGCTGTGGCGGCGTCGTTGTGCCGCCGGCTGCGGCGTCCTGCCGCGGCCGTCTCGACGCGCTGCTGTGGCATCGCGCTGTCGGCGCCGTCGACGACGAGCCGTGGCGGCGTGACGGCGTCGCCGACGTCGAGCCGTGGCAGCGCGACGGCGCCGACATGCTGCCGTGGCAACATGCTGCCAGCGCGAATGGCACGGCCGGCAGCGGCCAGCACCCCGCCTTAGCACTGGCCAGCACGCCCACATGCAGCCAGCGCACCACAGGGGCGGCACGCTCCCGGGCTCCGCTGCTGAAGCCCCCCACTCCCCCCCCCCCCCTCCCCCCCCCTTCCCCTGCGTCCCCTCTTCCTCGCCGCAGCCGACGGCTGGCTCGCGCCGGCTGTCCCACCGTCGCGGAGCCCGGCCACGCCGCCGGGTGCTGCGAGCTCCGCTGCCGCAGGTAGCTCTTGTCGAAGCTGCAGCCGCCGCAGCTGGTGCCGCTGGCCATGCCGCCGCACGCCGCCGCCGCCACCGCTGTCGACGCTGCCGCCGTCGCCGCCGTTGCAGCCGCTGCCTTCGCTATCGCCGTCGCCCTGGCTCACGCACCGTGGGGTTGACCATGCGGGAGTAGCCGTCGCTGATGCTCAGTATGGGGGTGCTAGGGGGGGTGTGGCTTAGTGTGCTGTGTGTTTGGTGGGCTTTCAACTACCAAGCCTAGGGGGTGCGTTAAATTATATACTTGAGATATATATTATGGTAGGCTTGGTAGCTGTTACTGGATCCTACTGTAGAGGGTACAACTCCCTCCTTGTATTCCACTCTCTTCTATTCTCGAAATCTTCTCTCTCGTAACTTTCCCCTAGCACCTAAACCTCTCACCATTCATGGCGTCTTCTCTTCCTACCTAGCTATTCTAGTATTCTAACAATATGGGAAACTGTCAACTTATACATACATTTGAATGTAGAAGTTATAGGCTAGAATAGGTGTGTGTTCTTAGAGAGTACAGCCCAAACCCTATACCTCCCTTATTCTCTTATCTTTCTAATCATTCAGTTATTCTAACATGGTATCACGCTAGGTTAGGCCCCCCTCCTCGCCTATGCTTCTGCCCCTAGACCGCGCCCTAGCCCGCGCCCCGTCACGCCGCGCCGGCCCTGCTAGACCGCGCCGGCCCCACTAGACCGCACCGGCCCCGTCCCGTCGCGCCATACCGGCCCTGTCCCGCCGCTCCGGCCCTGCTACGCCACGCCAGCCCTGTCACGCCATGCCGGCCCTATCCCGCCGCGCCGGCCCTGCTATGACGCGTTCGCCCCGTCCCGCTGCGCCGGCCCCGTCACACCGTGCCGCCCCGTACCGCCACGCCGGCCCCGCTATGCCGTGCCGACCCCGTCGCGCCGCGCCGGGCCCGTCCCGCCGCGTTGGGCCCGTCACGCCGCGCCGGCCTCTTCGCGTCGCGCCGGCCTTGTCCCTCCTCGCCGGCCCCGCCGAGCCGCCGCGTAGCCGACCCACCGAGCCGCCGAGTAGTTGCGCCGTTGTGCCGCCGAGCTGCCGAGTAGCAGAGCCGCTGCATCGCCGAGTTGCCGAATCGCCGAGCCGCCGTGCTGATGTGCCGTCCCAACCTACTGGCCTTGGTTCCCCTTTTTGTGCCGGCTCTCCAGCCGGCCGTCTCCACCGCTGCTCTCCACCGCCCTCTCTTCCTCCTCCCCTAACGGCGGCCAGCTGTTGCAGCCGTGACGATGGCGGATCCTGTGCTCCGCCTGGACGTGGAGGGTCGGGCGATCGACTTTGAGGCGTGGCTCGCCGACCTCCGCCGCTCGCTGAGGGGACAGCGCCAAGATGGCCAGTCTCTGGCCGTTCACGTCAACGGTAAGATCCCCTGCCCCGACCCGTCTGCTGCCCATTTTGACGCCCCCATGCCCGCTAAGCGTGAGGCCTTTGCTGCTGCTGAGCTCGCTTGCTCTGTCTGGGAATCGTGTAACGCAGTTGCGCAGCTTGCTATCATTCACGCCCTCCCCCTGTCTGATCGCCCCCGCTATCAGGCCCTAGAGAATACATAGGCGTACTTAGATACGGTTATTGCATACTATTCTACTCCCTCCTCCGCCTCTGTCAGTCGTCTTTTCCTCCCCCAACTCTTCCTTGACCTTGCGTCTATTCCGACAGTCGCTGATCTCGCCATCCACTTGCGCGCACTAGAGATTAGCTACCGCGCTGCTAGCATTGAGGCTCAGCTCCTTGCACTACCTCCCCCCCTCGGCGCTACCCTCTGCTTCCTTGCCACGCGCCTTCCTTACCACCTAGCCACCGCCCGCGACCACTTCCTTGCCCTCCACCCTGCTGACCTCACCCTCACTGACATTGTCACTACCTTGACCGCGATAGAGACCCGCTAGTGCACTATTGCTCAATCGAGGCGGTCCCTATATTCCAGGGCTGTGCTCCCTCCCAGTGCACTTACTCTGACGTCTTTGCCGCTGTTGCTGAGACGGCCCCTGCTGCTAAACCGCTATGGCGGCCTCAGCGCAGTCGCGTCAGGATAGGGGACGCCGAGCCTGGGGGGGCGGGGGTGTGGCGGGGATGGCGGGAGTGGTGGAGGGGACGGTGATGCAGACGACGGGACCTGTGCTGGTGCCTCGGAGCAGCAGCCTCCTCATCATCATCATCAGCAGCAGGCGTCGCAGCAGCAGCATCAGCAGTCGCCGTGGGGGCCCCCGCCACCGTGGTGAACTGGCGGTTCTAATGGTGGTGGTGGAGGGCGCAGCTCGATGTCGGGTGGCGGCTCCAGTGTGGTCACCTGCCAGTACCAGCTTCAGTCCGGCCTCCGCCGCGGCACTGTCTGTGACCGCCCCAGTCACACCGCCGCACGCTGCTACAGCAGCCTTGACGACCTCTTCCGTCCCCACGGCGGACCCCTTCGACTGGTACAGCATGGTGCGTTGTCGTATGCCTGTCGTTGAGATGGACATGGATCAGATTAGGTCTGCTTTGTATGCCATGTATTCTGATGACTCTAGTGTGACTGGACCTTATTACCCAGTGTTCTCAGCGTAGGTGTGTCCGCTGTGTGTAGTCTAGGTTTCCCTGCTGCGTCAGGCGTAAAACCTCCTGCCTTATTTAGCCTAGGCTCCACGCTAGCACCTCCGACAGCGGAAGCTAGTGCTTCGCCCGCCTTCACGCGAGACTCAGGAGCATTTGCCTGCTTCTTCCACGACCATACTTTGCTCACGCCTCTTGCTGCCGCTGCCGCTATTGCGCTTGCTGACCCCTCCTCAGGACCGGTAGTTGCCCGT